CCCTTGCTATAGTCGTGATACATTAACATGCGTGTACTGTGTCACAGACAGTTTGTTTCAGGGTGTAGTTTTATGGCTAACAAATTGTACTGATTTAATGTTACTTCGGTACCTTGGGGTAAGATGCCCCCAGTCCCGATGGGGAAAGACGCCCCCCTAAATCCGTAGGCTGTTCTTCAAGCAGCCCGTCAAATTATTTATTACATACTTGTGATGAGAGACAAAAGCCGATATGGGACTATTGAGAGCCCAGTACGGTCGGGTGCTCCCCATGCCGGTCTCTCGGCCCACACAGCGACTTTTTGGGCGGCATCTGACTCTGAGAGCCCTCACGAAGGCCTCTGTGGGCCCCTTTATTGGCTCCAGGGCCCCTCACGACATCCTTTGAGGGTTCCCACGTTGGCTCCACGGGCCGCGCTGGCATCTGAGGTCCCCACGATGGGCTCGAGGGCCCTCAAGCATCATGAGGACCTATAAGGGCCCCACAGTGGTCTCCGAACGCCACCACGGAGGCTTGTTTGGCCGCGCTGGACTATGATGGCCCTAACGATGACCTCTGAAGCCCCTTACGACTACTTTTGAGGGCCCTTACGATGACGTTTGGTGTCTACTGCAGGCTCGAAGAGACTACTGATTCGTTCAGGTGATTCACGTGCCCATTTATGTCACTTATAGTGCAGGGGGCATCTTCCCCAACGCCAGGGGGCGTCTTTCCCACCCTGATGGGTAAGATGCCCCCTTTCACTTCTTCAGGAAAATGCTTAATAGCAAAAAAAGTTATCATATTTCAGGCACGAAAGTGTGACATTTTTGGAGAAAAATGATGTCGGCTTCCATTGAAACTCAAGTTTTTGCTTTCGGATCGTCATTTTCGAATAATATATGACATAGTAAAACCCTGGGCATCTTTCCCCACTCTCCCCTACTAACACCCGAGAGACGGGCTGACCGGTCTGCCCGATCGAGCCGGGTCCGGGTCAGGTCGGTCCGTCAGTCAGTCCAGCCGGCCCGGCCGCCTTCCCATGGTTCGATGGAGCAGCTCGTTGTAATTGGAAACCGCATGCGGTGTGATACAAGAACCGTTAGACTTAGATACCTATAGCAGAGGTTTTACGCTCCAGCATATTAGTTTATCGTGGCTGTCCAGATAAAGAGCAGGGAATGAAATATTGCAATTTTAAGTTAAAACTCAACTAAAGACGAAATAATACTTATACGGTATGAAAACAATGCCGCGCACCTTATAACGGACGTCGTCGGTCGATGCTGCCTCTTCTAAATCGTATTTAACTAATGGCATTTGCTAAGCAAGTATGAAGTCTCGTCTTTTTTACTTTCCCGTCTCGACTGTAACCTTGTAAATGTTTCTTGCTGATTGTAAATGTTTCTGGCGGCAACGCCCCAGCAATTTGAAGACGGTAAGTATTCAAAATTGAAAACTTAATTCTTTGGAAATGCATTTCGGTTCTTTTCATGCAGTTTTATGAGGCCGGAGCACGGAATACCAACACTATAAAACGATAGTGCTTCGTGTCATTAACGAAAGATCAGAGCGATTCAACAGCCAGTCACTCTTGCCTTATATGTAAAGGCATTTATGTATCAAATACATATCAAGGGCATGCGGTCAGATACCTACCTGGCCAGACTATGCAAATATAATGATAAATTCCAGACCACTGACACCTGTTGGCTGTTTGTTGCCCTCGATAACATCTCTGGGCAGCAGATGGTCAAGGACGCCGGAGGACGCCAACACTTTCCTCGTTCTGTTGGCGGAATCTAAACCCCAAATGCATGCAATTTGGCGTCAGCATTAAGAGAATCTCACCCCTCTACCCTATACAGTCGTAGTAGTTTTACAAACTTCCTGACAATAAGCAACATTTGAACGTATGCACGAATATTGCACATACTTGCATGTCATGGGAGAGTCGGAGGCACATTCATAAATCCGCGACTAAATGCTAGTGGTCCAGCCGAACCCATTTCGCTGGAGGAATGAGGTGTGAGCACATTCCGGAGTCGCTCAGGCGTCTGAGCTTCCGTGCCAGCCGGGAACCGAGGTCCCGAGTGCCGCGCCCTGCCCAGGACCGGTCCCTGCCGGGGCTCAGAGGAGTGAGGACCTTCACCTGACCCGCGGTCCTGGTCCCAGACCGGTGGTCCGCGGTCCACACGGCACGGACAGCGACCATGAGCGAGAACGGCTGCACAGCGGCACCGATAGTGATCTGGACGGCAGCACGCCGCTTTCCTCGTGCCGCGCGCGGCGAAACACTACCGCCTGCCGGGACGGTCGGTATACGGACACCGACGGACAGGGGCGTGTTTTCAGGTAGGTCTGTGGACACCTTCCTACGGCTCATAGGTCTCATAAGAAGGCTGGTTACAAATATTGATGATACCATTCATCCATCTTTATCAGTGGTTGCAACCAATTTCGTTATGTAATGTTATAACCGCGGCAGCCCGCCGCGCTGTTCGCCGTCCCCTATCCCTACTGCACGGAGTATTTAGCCGATCAGTGAACGCCCGTTCACCGCCCCAAAGTGCTCGTGGGAGGACTGCTGCCAGCGGTGTGCAGCCGACAGGCGGACACGCAAACACGACACTCATCGTCCGTGGGACGTCGGTCACGCACCAAACTCGGCGTCAATAGATCGATCCGGACCGGAGATTAGTCACACTTACGGTAACAGCTATGTGGCGGGGCGGCCGTACGGAGAACTGTGTAGCGGTGGCAGTCACGGCAGGGTATGGACACTGTCACAGCTGAGGCACGGACACCGTCACAGCAGAGGCACGGACGTCACAGAAGAGGCACGGACACTGTCACAGCAGATATGCTGATGTGTGACAGTGAGCTTCAGAGACACGGACACTACACATGAGTATAGGTATAGTGAGTGGATTTCGCTGACAATCTGCTAATTAACTCGAACGATTTTACTGGGAGTAGACACTTTCAATGAAATATGACATTATGATTTATGAATATACGATTTTCAGCGTTGTAGCTTGTAACAAGCGCTAACCGTTCCGTTTACCAGGACGGTTTCAGCAAACAGCGATCGTTCATACTTAACAATTTATTTCTCGAGTACAGATTTATCTATTCGAGTCAGTAGCGTGGCAACTCGCGCTGATATGCTGACCGCAGCGAGTTGGGTGCGGTTCAAATCATCCCAATACCGGAATCTGAGCACACTGTGTTCATCAAGAGAGCATCCAACCACCAAGTCCACTGGCATCTGACGGCAGCATGTCGATACAGGAATCCCACTCCCGAGGTTCGTCAGATCGGCCTTTCATTGGCCGCGGACAGGTATGCGACCACCGATCCTGGGTATGTCCGTAGAGGTTTCACCCGACCATCGCAGGCGCATTCCATTCTTTTTAACTTTAACAGCAGATTAGGAGACGGAAGTGGCTAATTGTTCCCAGACGAAGACGCGTCTGATATCAGCGCCTCAGATCGCCGCATTCGTCACCGGCCCGCCGCGACCGTCGACAGAGATGCTCTCTCAGAGAAACCGGTCACCACCGGTCAGCGCGCTCCGGACACCTGATTCACCCGGAGGCGGACACACATCAGTTGTCCGGTTATTGGATTAACCAGGACACGCAACAGAATTGTCTGGATATCTGATTTACCAGACAGAGATCTCGAGTCACGAAGATGCCAGAATAAGGGCGGGCTCGTGAAGAACGATTGATTAAGCTTAACGAAATGAATAAACTGAATAACCGTTCTCACTAGTCACTAGGACACCGTGAAAACATTCATCATATTTAATCGGCCTTCCCTTCAAATGTTATTTCCCCTTTTAAGAAACTCAGTCATGACTGACCACTGAGACTGACCATCAAAACTCGCACCAGTCAACCAAACTAACCACATTGAAATAACCGTCCGACCAGCCCGTCGGTCCGTCCGACCGCTGGGGTCACGGACAACGCCACCGCTCCTCAGAGACCGTCTGCAGCCGGCCGGGCCGCGCCGATCCCCGTGAGAAAGTCGAGCTCGTTCCTTCAGTCACTCATCATCACCATCTCTTCGACCGGATTCCCGGCCGCTGCACAGGCCCTGTCGTGGCCAGTGTCACGGCGCCCTTTTTACGGACTCTGCAGAGAGCAGAGACGTTGCGGCGATTGGATCGGATACGGGCAGGTTGGAGTTTTAGATAGACATGGAGCGCGGAGCACTATGACGGTTCTTACATGGGTTCATGGCTGGACAACTGGTATGGCTGCTCAGTGTCCACGGCAGAGCAACGCTGGCATGGTACACTTGACGCCTTAGGTATGACGAATTGCCGTTTTTCTCTTATCAAAAGGTATCATGTGTTCACGGATTATCAACCGCATCGTTTCACGGTCCAAAAAGTTTTGAGTTTTATGGAAATAATTGATACTGGCCTTCAATCATTTCATGAGTTTCTTTTAAGAGCTTCGTTTTCGTAGTCGTGCTGATATTGCACTTTTGAGTATTTTGCTTCCTTCACAACCGTTCTAGTTCACGGCCTCAGGTAATGAGTTAATTCACTGAAGTATATAACGTCGCATTATCTAATAATAAGTGCATTGCGATGAAGCTGTTGACCAACAGCAACATTCATTTCCCAAGTTGCATGTCTCTTGACAAACGGCCACTCTCTCCACCCCTCTCTCTCCCCGCCGGTGAGCGCCTCCCTCCCTCTCTCCGCCGGGGGCAGCTCTCTGCCGCTGCAGACTCTCTCCCGGGCCGTTCGCCGGGTCAGAGGCCGGAGCCGGTGGCAAGGTAAGGCGAGGCTGCCGGGCGCCGGCGGCTCGCGTGTCTACCGACCACTGACCACCGGATGGTGGCGGCGGACGGTCCGGCGAGCGGTCAGCACGGCAGGAGGGGCGTCAGCGGCACAGCAGGGCGGTCAGATCTCACCAGAGGACAGAGTGCAACAGAGAGTAGCCACTACGGTTAACTCCCGAACAGTATATACCATCGAAACAAACACACACAACGAATAGCAGAAACAAATGTATTCACGGTCCTATCCCTCTGTCCCACACACCATCTCCAGTGCAAGTCGTCCAACAAGACAATAGTTAGCGCCGTCATGATCGCACTGCTCCGCTCACAGAGCCCCTTCGGAGGCTGGTCACACCACCCGCCGCGAACGCAGAGGCGAGCTCTCTTTGGTACGGCCTTATCACAACGCTGTCAATCGCTCTATTCCCCAGCCCCAGTAAATCAGCTCAGCTAGACCCCGTCCAGTACCACTCGGCTTAGAAGGACTCTAGTTCGGTCCGTGACCTGTAGTCGCCCTTCTCGCGGAGCCGGGGAACGATACATGTAAGAGACAAGAAGACTGGGCCAAGCCGTCCCGCATCTGTGGACCCACGGCCAGCCGTGTTACAGGTCAATGGTCAGGGTCAGGGTCACAAGTCATAGGTTACAGGTCATGGACCACGGGGCAGGTCCTCCAACAGAGACAGACATTTGGCACGGGCGGCCGTCTTAGACCAGCCGCGAGGTGACTCCGATCAACTCTGCGAGTCCTCGCATTAGGGCATACCGCAGGGGCCAGTAACCGCCACAAACGGCTAACAACGAACAGAGCCCTGATTGAAACCATTTACACATAAATAGACCAGCCGATTGTGATTACACAACATTGCCATCAGTGTTCCTTACCACGGGATTCATCCCGTACGGAAATACTCCACAATTCGGTGGTATGAATTATTCCATCTCTATTATCGGTGCTTACACAACCATTACTTCATCCAGCCGTCCCTGCCATTACAGAGGGACAACTCATAGACATTAAAGCGTCAACGGAGTGACCAATAAAAACACATATTATATGCGATGTCTGCCGCGGGTCCAGTGAACATAGCAGACAATCTCATAACCCCCGACGACAGCGAGCGTCCGTCTGCCACCCGACTGATTGGCGCAGTCCCTATCCGCTCACCGGGCTGAATTGTCCCCATGATTCGGCCAACCTCCAATTCCACAGCGAGCCGATAACGTGTCAGCTAGGCCGCCCACCAGCACGGCGCGTCTCCCAGCAGTACCTCCGGCGGGGCGCCCTCAGGTGAAGTTGCTGAAGTCCATGCTGAGCTTGATGGTGGCGGACGGTGCCTGCGGAGCGACAGGCTTCATCTCTGACCGCCGCGCCTGGGCGGCCTTGAGACTCTGGCTGGCGACTACTGCCTTCTCCAGACGCTGCCGGAGCCCGCCCGAGCCCGACAGCAGCGCCTTGAACTCCTGAGGAACCGGAACACGGTCAGTGGGTAAGTATACGGTACAGCGAGGCATGGTGACAGAGAAATGAACGGGGAAATCATATCCTCGCAAGCTTTGCCTTGAACTAGGTAACTGTTACAACCTTCTATTTTCAAAGAGATTCACTCGATGCAACGAAATCCTTTCATTGAAGCATTGATGCGACACGAGTTACATATGCCTATTATATAATTGAGCGTGGCACTGCTTGATAGCCAAAACATCTGTCGTCTACTTCGAAAGTGATAAAGCTCTCTTATTTGAACAAGAGAGATCCTGGCACCATCTTTTTTTGCAAAGAGTTTCGCATCTATCTAAAGAAGTGAAAGTTCGTTGACAAGAACCCTGCGTATATTGAACAAAGTGACTCGTTGTTTGCAAAAAATAGCAATGCGACTTTTATATAAGTTAAATTTAGACACCATTAACAGAGGTCACCCCACAGACCGCCCCGACCGGACCACCATCCCGCCGCGCGCCCCGACTGCGCGCCATTTTTAACCGCGTAATGAACCCGGAGATATGCGCGCAAAAACCGGCTAGCATGCATGGTTTCTTAATAAATATGTTCATTGTTCTCAGTACACCCAGTCCGGCCATCGTTTCATTACAGCGATAATGAGTGTTCAAATAGCGAGCTGTCCAGCCAGCTGAGCTCATATGACGAGAATGTTTGAGCAGCGCCACCGGCCGTCGAATTCAAACTATGCCTGACGAAACAATAGGCTATAATTGCTCGGCTAAAACACACCACCAGGGAATGCAATACCAGTCATAGGGCTATGCAGAAAAATCGTGAGAAAATAATACATATTAACCCTGTTGGAAAGGCCCGCCAAATGTTTGTTGGTGGTCATATGTTGAACCTGTTTATCGGTGCGCCCGATCTCAGTATTGGCTGATCGTGTGGGCGCCGCGGTTACCCACCGTTCCCAGGCACACATCCAGTCTCGGTCTTTCCACTTTGGTCAATTGGCGGCGATAAAATGTCTGCACCTGGTCTGTTGACGCTACCGTGATAGACAATTTCCAGCGCCGATCTAGCCTGGATAGGCTTCCTCAGTACTCGGGTAATCAGAATACAACAATTGACTTCATGATTCCGAGAACAGTGAGTGCCGCGTGTGAGCTTAATTATTTACAATGGAGAGTATCTTGATCTAGACCATATGTAAAAGTATTTATCTTTGGATAAATTTGTGTTTTGTTTGTAGCACCAACTCACGAAGAACTATTCATAGCCTCTTATCACGTACCACATTGGCCGTTATCAAAGACACCAATTGCACACTCGAGACGGGGATTCTTCGTAAGCAGAGCCATTTTGGGACTGACTAAACACAAACTGGCATCAGACAAAACAAATGCATTATGCCTGCGGGGAAAAGTGATAGCGATGACACACCAAATTATAAGAAATTGGACCGCTGAAAATAACAACTGTACCTTTTATTGCATTACCTTTGCACAGCTATCAGCCCAAATCAACATCAAAACAACGTAACTTTAGCCATGATACGGTTTCTGATTCAGTACTGGAATGAACACACCCTCCGCAGTGGCATCTCTCAGCCTCTTATCAGACCTCGATCACATGACCGGCACCGCTAGGATGCACACCCATCGCAAACGAACTAAGATAGAGTTGCGGGCAGAGACGTTTCTAGAAGTAAAAACGCCAGCACCGGGACGGAGCGCCGCTCACCGCGTCATCTATACGAAATGATCATACTGGCAGTGGCAGCCCGCAGCTCCAACTTGCGTGCTCAGCATCAGCTAGCTTTCTACTGTCCTCGTAACTAGCTAGAATTCAATTGGTTTCGTTTCATTGACTGAATGAGCTGACTCTGCTGCAGTATACCAAGAGGGTGAGCGTCTGTGATGGCCTGATCAGTAACATTAAGACTTCAGCCTCAGGTAAAACACAGGGCGGAATCCCAGCTCAATGCCGTTTCGCTGCCAGCGCCACCTACCTGTGGATACTGCGGGCCGATGGTGTTCAACTTCTCCAGACAGTGCTCATGGCGGGCCTGGACGAGCACCGGCGCTGCCGGCAGGGTCTCTCCGTCCAGGAGGAACCGCGCCAGCACGGGCACGTACAGACCGAGCACCTGCACTCCTGCGGAGGGACGGGAGGAGGGGTCAGCGGTGGATGTTACAACCATGAGTCTCTATGACCATATTGAGTAACATTAGCACTCTCAAGCAAGCCTTTTTATTTCAAACGATAAAATGGCCAGACGAAAAAATGAGGTAGATCGGTAGCATGAAAGAACGTCAGCATCTAGTTCTGAGATCCTCTCATGGTGGAATCGTTTTCAGAGTCTCACAACTTACCCTCGATCTCAGATCCTTGGCAGCGGTAGAAGACATTTAAAGTTGAGTCAACTCATTCAAGTTCACATCACTTACGTGTTAATAAAATCAAACTACCATCCGCAGTTCAACCATCCTATCCATACAAAGATATCTACCTAGCCATTGACGGTATGGGCATCATATATCAGCAGAGGATGCGAAGATAGCTCCCCAAGATAGCTGAACTAAAAGGAAACTCGCAAACAGCAATGGGCCCATCGGATGCTCATTGATGGACACCCGAGGGTTTGTCACAGTTACGACATACGACTTTTGCATTGCTGACTTTTGTAGGTACTGCGTTTGGATCCAGCAACCACAGAAACAAGCCATGGTGACTTTACCCCATACAAAACCCCCAACACATAACGGTTTTCCTGGTACAATAGCAGCCAGTTCAAAAGGGCCGAGCAATGCCAAACCATTCCCAGATACCGATAAATGTCGATGAATGATGGTCAGAAAATGTAACCGAGGACAATCTGCTCGTCAGCAGAGGTATTCCAAGGACCTTCGACCGCAATCAGTGCCGAACGGAAGCGATTCAGTTCCGGAGAACGGGACAGAGCGTCTGCCAACCGTTTCCACCGCACATCGGTGGAATTTACACCGGCTCGATTGAGGTTCATTAGTGGAATGACACTAATCTCGATAAAGACGCGAGGCTCCGGTAGTGCTCTGTCGAGCCCCGATTCAGTCTACAAAACAGGTGAAACATGCTCCGTACATGCAAAAAGGCCAATACTATGGCACAGTCTGAGAAAAATCACCCTTCCCACGTGAGTTACTAGTTCCTCACAGCATTCTTGCAAACTGTCCCGGAAGTTTTCAGCGGAGCATGTCATGTCTGCGGTTTTCCATTCACCGTTGTCGGAATAGCTAGCGGTTCGCATTAGTCGCGCCTGTCGATTTGAGCCGCTCAATGAAGTGTGCCGTTTCCCCGTTCCCACACTCCTCCCAGGGTACTCCTGCCGAGTGTACCCCTCTCTGCCCCCCTCTGACTCACGGTGTGCGGGGTCACAGACAGTGACCAGCTGTTCGAGCGCGGCCAGCTGCTCCAGCTGCAGCTGCAGCTCCGGCTGGCTGGCGGGCGGCGCGGCTCCGTGCAGCTGCTGTAGGAGCCGCGGGGCCAGCGCCTGGATGTAGGGCGTGGAGACGGCCCGGTCCTGGTGGCCGAACAGGGAGCGCAGCGTACGCACACAGTGCAGACGCACCTGTCGGAACGAGGGGCGTCATTGTGGATAGTCGAAGACGCACCTACCTAGCTGTAGACGAGGATGGAAAATGTTACAGGGGACGAAACTGAGTGCATGAGATAGCTGCAGCTAGGCAGTGGACTGCTAAAACAGGACACAAATATGGCAGGGTATAACGGAAAATGAGGTATACGTTGTAACGCTGAAGACGGATCTCCCTCTCTTCCTTTCATGCCTTCTTTCTCCCTCCTACCCCCTCTCTCTCTCTCTCTGCCTCCCTCCCTCTCTCCATACCTGTACGCTCTCGGCCTGTAGACAGGTGGTGAACTCGTTGACACAGGGGTACTGGAGCGCCGGGACCCGCACCACCGACGGAGGAGCGTGTAGAATGAATACTCCCATCGCCAGCAGCATAGTCACCTCGTCCAGTCGCATGTCGTCCGAGCCTGCCAGAAGTCAGACAATACGACGCCTCTGTCAAACGGCAACATAATAGACGACCTCACAATGGGACAATGCACAGAAACATGTTCTCAGAGCCTGGGCGCAAATCCCAATGTTCAATTAGAGGGATATCTTAAGGGCAAGGAATTCACAGTCATAGGTTATGAAAATATAATGGAAAAAACTATCCAAATATAAAATGGAGCTGGACACAAGTAACAACGATGCCACAATCAAACACAACACAACAGGATGTTAAATGCTAACTGCGTAACATTGGGCATGACGGGGGGGGGGGGGGATACTCACATGTGCGCGTCATGTCGATGACTTTGGCCAGGGCGCTCTCCAGCAGCTGACACCACTCGGTCGAGACGCGCTCATCTCGGCCGTACCTACCGAAACACATAGACAACTCTCAGACTGAGACACGCCGAAATCAGACTGCGATAAATGCAAGTTACTATAGTTTCACGCAACACCAGTCAAGGCGAGTCAGTGGTCACATTCGATAAGTGAGAACATTATGCTTCAGCCACAACCGCTAATACACATCGAAACCTTCTGCCAGTGTGACCTCCCCAAGCCTCAAGTCCACATCTCTTTCCCTCTAGATAACCCCAACTCGCTTAATCCCCTAACCTATGTGACACGATGACTCTTAGGGCGAGCATAGCCGAAGATCCCCCTTCCCTCACCTATGTGACACGATGACTCTGAGCGCGCGCAGAGCGGCCGCCACCGCCGGCCGGGTGGCCAGCACGGCCCTCTCGCTGACCGGTTTGGTAGCCAGCTGCCTGAGCACGCTGGTGGTGAGCAGTAGTACCGTGGGTAGCACGGCCAGGGCGCCGCGGGGCGAACAGAGTGACGGCACCGCCTCCAGCACGGCCACACTCTCCATCAGAAGCTGGTGGGAGTGTTCTGAGAGGCCGGCGGAGGGTGGGCGGACTATCCGGGCCGCCGTGCTGCTGTGGAGAGAGAGGATAACACGGTCAGGGACGGTACAGCTGGTGGGAGTGTTCTGAGAGGTCGGCGGAGGGCGGGCGGACGATACGGGCCGCCGTGCTGCTGTGGAGGGGGGGGGGGGAGGGGAGCAGTCAATGATGGTACAGCTGGTGGGAGTGTTCTGAGAGACCGGCGGAGGGCGGGCGGACGATACGGGCCGCCGTGCTGCTGTGGAGGGAGGACAACACGGTTAGGGACGGTAAAGTTGACTCCGAGATGCCAGCGGACGGCGAACGGACTTTCCGATCCGCGGAGCTACTGGAGGGAGGGGTGGTGACTGCATAGTATAACTAGATCGAGAACAACAGAATCAAGTAATTGTAAAATGTTAGCTTACAAACAAGCGCGATACTAGCTTGGGGAGTAATCATTAAATACATTATCTCCCTTCCAGTTTTTCCATTCTACATCAATTCAACAAAAGACTGACGAACAAAAGTCGCCATCCGGTCAGGCACAAGCTTTGCCAGCGTCGCCGTCAATGGTCAATTGTCAGCCGAATATGAGTGTCTCACCTGCCCTGGGCGGCCGTGTTGAGTGCCGGCACCAGTTTGGTGAGCAGGCACAGGCAGACCTCCAATAGTGCAAACACCACCGACTGGCCGGGCACGATGTCCCCGGCGGCGCCCCCCTCGCCCAGCAGGTCCGACTCCGGGTGGTGGCGCGGCTCCCGGTTCGCCGGCTGCAGGTCTGCGGCGAGAGAAACGGAGTGCAAGCGTACAGTCACTTCATCGGGGTGGAGGAGGACGATGGGTGCCCGACCTGCGACGGCGGAGTCAGGGAGGACGCGGAACACTTCCTGACGTCGTGCCCCGCGACGGTCCGCGTCCGTCACGACGTTTTCGGGAGAGAGGACCCGACGCTGCGGGAGGTCTTCGCTGACCCATGCCGGGTTATCGAGTTCCTGCGGCGCCTGGACCGACTATAGAGCGCCCACGGCGCTAGACACTCTGGCGGGGTGCTGGTTCCTCCGGCCCTACCCGGCGTCTGAGTCCGCCGGAACCCGCCCGGGGGCCTGCTGCCTTCCCTGCGCGGACGCCGCAAGTGTCGCCCCCGAGGGGGACTGGGGCCCTTCCGGGCCCCCCATGTGGGCCCACCGGGCCCGACGGCCGGAACGACAACAACAACAACAAGAGAAACGGAGTTAAATAGGTGGAAAAAGTGGAGTACACAACAGCTTTAACCCGGCAGGCGGTGGGCCTACCAGCCACCTTCCACGCGGTGGGGGGGGGGGGGGGCACTTTTTTGCCCCCCCCGTATCTCCGAAACTACTGGACGGATCCGGAAAATTCAAACGGCGTTCGATAGCCCTGTCAAATTTGTCGAAGGAAACCAAATTTCATTGACCTCGGGGTCACCGATGACGTCACAGGTCAGGTCAAAGATGAAATGTTTCACCGTTCACAGGGCTTCTAGGGAAAGCGCTATAACACCGAGTAAAACGCATTTTGTCGAAAATCAGCGATAAGGCGTCAGTTGTCTAGTACATATGTTGCTATTAGAGGTCACTGGTCATACCAGGTCAGGTCACAGGTCAGGTCACCAAAGGTCACCAAGGGTCACCACATGAGCCCAACTTTACTAAGGTGATGTGATGCATGTTTTATGGCCAGTTTTTCATTTCCAACTCAATGGTGTTGGTTATAAGACCGTCAGGTACGGTTTAGGTCACTTTCTGGTGGAGGTCAGGTCAAGGTCAGGTCAAAAAAGGTCAAATTTCAAAGTTGATATTTTTGCATAAAATGGGTATCGATTCGATGCAGCTCGTCATGGGGAGTCTAATGGTGGTCTTTGTTTTGCGCTACGAGGTCTAGAATTGCTAAAAATTGAGTTTGAAAATTTGACGTCATCAATTTTGAAGTTTTTTCGCTATAACTTGGCCAAAAAACGAGGTATCGATCTCAAATTTGGTATGTAGATAGAAGGCGGTAGGGACTATCACATATATTCCGGTTTTTTCGAAATTCAAAAAACTTTTTGGATTTTTTGGCTATTATATTCAAAAAATCTATTTTTTGATTTTTGGGGGTCAAAATCCAAAAAATTCGAAAAACCGAAATAGCAGTTTTGTAGCCCTTTTGATTCCACACCTTTTATGTCTAAAACATTTTTCTGTATCTCTAAAGCTGTAGGCCTGACAGCTCTTCCCGCGAAACCTTTTTTTTTGGGTCGAAAATGGCAAAAATGACGTCACTCTTACGTCATTAGCGGCCAGCCTATCATAGCCTTTGGAAAATTTTTGGTCACCATGTGCGCTAGCTGCTCCCGGGAGGGTACTGAAAGTTTGGTGACGATCGGCGCAGCGGTTCTCGAGATATATCGAAAAAAGTAAAGGGGGGGGGGGGCAAAAAAATGCCCCCCCACCGCCTGGAAGGTTAACCCGCGCCCTGGTGGGGGGGGGGCTATTTTTTGCCCCCCCTCCAGACTTTTCGATATATCTCCAGAACCGCTGCGCCGATCGCCACCAAACTTTCAGTACCCTCTCGGACATCAATTTTACACATCGTGACCAAAAATTTTTCCAAAGGCTATGATAGGTTGGCTGGAAATGACGTCAGAGTGACGTCATGTTCTGCCGTTTTCGACCAAAAAAAGGGTTTCGCGGGAAGAGCTGTCAGGCCTATAGCTTTGCAAATACAGAAAAACGATAAAAACATAAAAGATGTAAAATTGACAGGGCTACAAAACTGCTATCTCGGATTTTTGAAATTTTTGGATTTTGACCCCCAAAAATAAAAAAAATATATTTTTTGAATATAATAACCGAAAAATCCAAAAAGTTTTTGGAGTTTCGCAAAAACCGGAATATATATGATAGTCCTTACCGCCTTCTATCCACATACCAAATTTGAGATTGATACCTCATTTTTTGGCGAAGTTATAGCGAAAAAAACTGTTCAAAATTGATGACGTCAAATTTTCAAACTCAATTTTTAGCAATTCTAGACCCCGTAGCGCAAAACAAAGACCACCATTAGACTCCCCTTGACGAGCTGCATCGAATCAATACCCATTTTATGCAAAACTATCAACTTTAAAATTTGACCTTTCTTGACCTGACCTTGACCTGACCTTCACCAGAAAGTGACCTAAGCCGTACCTGATAGTCTTATAACCAACACCATTGAGTTGGAAATGAAAAATTGGCCATAAAACATGCATCGCACAACCTAAGTACCTAATGTTAGGTTCATGTGACCTGACCTCTGGGCTCTGACCCTTGGTGACCTGACCTGTGACCTGACCTGGTATTGTCAGTGACCTCTTATAGCAACATATGTACTAGGCAACTGACGCCCTATCGCTGATTCTCGACAAAATGCGTTTTCTTCGGTGTTATAGCGCATTCCCTAGATGACCCGTGAACGGTGAAACATGTCATCTTTGACCTGACCTGTGACGTCATCGGTGACCCCGAAGTCAATGAAATTTGGTTTCCCTCGACAAATTTGACAGGCCTTTCGAACGCCGTTTGAATTTTGAGGATCCGTCAAGTAGTTTCGGAGATACGAGGGGGGGCAAAAAATAGCCCCCCCCCCCACCAGGTCGCGTTATAAACAGACCCCACCAGGGCGCGGGTTAAGGGGTCTGAAGAGGTTATGATGGTGGATTTGACTTTTAGGTGTTCAAAGAAAGCAGGACAGGACGGGCTAAACACAGTCAATCAGTCAAACACCTAGCAGCGCATCCCAGTGCGTACCTTTGAGCCGTCTCCGCTGTGCGGCCTCCAGGCTCTCCTGGGCCGCCGTGATGACCTTCCTGACCAGTTTCATGACCAGCAGGTGGACGGCCGGGCTCTCCCTGGTCAGCAGCAGCCGGTGTTGCACGTTCAGCAGCTCGACAGTCAGCGCCGGCGAGCCGCTGAGCAGCCGCCGCGGCCAGGGGGAGCTGACCAGCCGACAGAGGGCGCGGAGACACGTTACCACCACCGGGACGGGCTCCGAGCTGCGCGGGTTGCACAGCGCCTCCATACAGATACCTGACGGCGGGGGACAGGGATCGGTCATAATAATCATGGTGCCACATTGACAACACAAGGTGAAAATAAAAAAACATTTATATGCAACAGTCGTTTCTCAATCATTCGTTAACATCCAGCTGAAGTTAATGAGCTTTTAGGGCAACCGTGAATATAACTGGCAATCAAAGGATGACAGACACATACAATAACGAAGCCAGACAATGAACGATAGAAAACGACAGGCCAGGCACCAAAGAACAAGTTGGACCAGAGAATAGTGAACGGCAGCTCAGAGAACACGATGGTGATATATAACGCACCGAACAGCAGGTGGAAGCGGTCCGTGTTGATGTCCTCCGGACTGCGGCCGGCCGCCGCGTTCGTGGGACCGATACCCAGGTTGGTGCTGCCCTCCACGTCAATACCGACCTGGCGGCGAAGAGATAGCACGGTCAGAGTCAGAGTTCACTACATAATCCACCAGGGGGTGGGGAATGATCACAAAACCGCATACCGGATGTCGTGACAACAAAGTTCACCCTTGAGGCCATATTGATGCCATCAGGTAAATGACTGCAGCTCTTAGCCCCAATCGTCCCCTGTCTGAATTAGCTACGGTCTAGTGCGGTCGTACCTCTAATTTCTTCATATTCTCCCATTGGCCCACTCCCAGTCAGTTCCCAATATGTATCCCATTGGCACCGAGTCCTCCTCCGTCTCTCCCATCCCAGCCCTCTCTCTCTCGCACCGCAACTGACCGGTCCCGCCCCACCCCCTCCGCAGTCCCCCTGCAAACATCTCCCCAGCCATACACCTCTACATAGAATCAGCCCCTCTCACCTACCTTTTCGGTCTGGACATTATCGAATCCGCCATTATCCAGCCATATGGCGGCGGCGTGCAGTACGGCCGGCCAGGCAGTCCGGTAGTACGGCCGGGCCGCCTCCACAGTGTCCATGGTGTAGAACGCGCCGCCGTCGTGCGGCAACTGAGAGTTGAACTCTGACGGGGGGGGGGGGGGGTAGTTAGAGAGGTCTCTGAGACTCCAGCATGGACAATAGAGAGATTGACAGAGATATAAAACACAAACACCAAGCACAGAACGCAAATAGTTTATGGCATGTTTATGGTTACGGAGCGAGCGAAGCGAGCGGAGTCTCATACTGAATTAAGGGAAAATCCTGAGTATGAGCGGCCGGCCGGCCGGCCGTGGGGACGCTCTTCAAAAGCTAATAGGTATCTTAGGAACAGGACATCCGATTGACAAGCGGTCTTCTTTACTGAATGTCACTTGGACGTAAAAGCTCTGTGGTGTGATGGCCACCATGCGTTCTTGCCAACCACCGCACGTGGCGCGTGGTAAAGTTGGACATTTTTTAAGAACCCCCAAATTGCAACCTAAATAACGGCACAACGGTTGGGCCGATTGAATTGAAACTCGGTACATAGTTAGGTCTCCATCAGATAATTCATCTGCATGTGTTAAAGTTGGGGTGCTACAGCACGTGCGCACGTGCAGGGGGCGCTCCCAGATCTCGAGAACGGCTGGGCCGATTGCGCTCAAATTTGGTACACGGTTGGGGACCAGTTAGTAGGGTGCCGTGCAAAAGTCAGTTTGGACCCCGCTTGCACGTGCGCACGTGCAGTGTGCCGCTTCCAGATCTCGAGAACGGCTAGGCCGATTGCGCTGAAATTTGGCACATCGCTAAAGACCGGTTAGTAGCGTGCAGTGCACAAGTTAGTTGGAGGTACCCCCTCGCAATTTCGCACGTGCAAGGCCCATCCTCTCGCTCGCTCCGTTGGTCGCCCAAAAGGCGTTTTACTGGTTTATAGACCCAATGTGATACTGTGGGCCTTACATGAACGGCTGTTACTTAGCAGCGCTGATGGGTACAAACAAGCCCTCATCCAAGATAACTGCTCCCCTACACATGACACAATCCTCATCCTCCCTTTCTCCCTCTACCCAGCACGCAGTGTCGCCCGGGCCTCTCACCTGGCGGCAGTGACAGCAGCGCCTGATCTTTGAGCGCCGCCAGCCAGTGTTTGGCCAGGTTGGCCAGCTCCGGACGCACCAGACTGAGCAGGTCGTCCGCCCCTCCGTCCTCCGGGTCAGTGGAGTCAGCCGGGGAGGTGGGGGAGGCGGGCTCACCGTCAGAGGACAGAGGGTCAGAGCCGCCCTCCCGCATCGCCACGATGTATACCTGAGGGGGAGAGAGGGAAGGAAGTTAAAGATTAAAAGGGATGGAGGCTGGAAATGGGACAATGACATCGCAAGCCTATCCGACCAATGTATCGTAACCGAAGAAGAATTGTCACCATATTAATATAGTAATTGCCGATCAACATATTGATCTACTAGCAGATATAATATTTAAATTCCTTACACCGAACTTCTTTAATAAATTTACTTTGTCTTTGTCTGACAATAACACCTCATTAGGAACCCCACAACATAGACAAATAACTTCAAAAGACAGTCGTTTTTCCACGCACCTCGGCCCAGGCCTTGAGTATTGCCAGCTTCTCCAGTGTCATGGCACTCTCGTTGTAGATGTGAGTGCCACGCCATTTCAGTTTGGCCAGTGACGAGACGAGCAGCTGATGGACTCGACGCAGGTCCGCCAGGTCGCGCGCCACGCCTGTCCGTAAGGTCAGGTCATCAATCAGGTCAGCTAGTTAGGTCAGGGTTAGGTCCGCAAGGCAGGAGGCTAACGGAAACAGGTAAATACTTCGGGAAATTTCTTATTGCAATTAAGAAGGCTCATTAATCAGCGCACTATCCTCATCCTCCAAGGTGTATTCAAGCTGGTTGAACACACCACCATTCAAAAACTTCCTCCAGAGCCGCTCACGTGACTGACCTGAGCCGATCCAGGCGGAGCAGACGTGACAGGCGCGAGCGGTCACGTGACAGGGCGTGTCGGCGGCGAAGGCCGGTCTCAGGGCGGCCGATACCTGGGCCTGGTACTGCAACACGCCCGGAGCGAGAGACGTCAGAGGGGCGGAGCGGTTATACAGCAGCGGGGGCTCAACAGTTCGTCACCTGCTCCAACGAGGCAAGGCTGGACGGGACATGGCTGATGCGAGTGATAATTAACGCCCAAAGTTGGGAAATTTATAGGGGTTTGATGTCTATTTATATCTTTTTTTTTTAGCAAGGACAGTATTTTCTATAATATCAAGCACCACGCATTTGTAGAACAAGTGACTCTTCAACGTATAATATGCTTTTATTAATCAAATCAAATACGGGTGTTATATAGTTGTAACGACAGTGTCAATGTTTCTATTTAATCGCGCGTCTCTCCGCACCTGTTCGAGGAGCAGGTGCCCGGGCACCTCGGGGTCGGGCGCCGCCGAGAACAGGTCAATCAGCTGGTGCAGCGTGTCCAGGCCGGCCAGACGGAGTGGGTCCGAGTCACTGGTGGCGGCCATAAACGCCACGCGAACCAGGTCCGAGAGGTGCAGGATGAACCAGTCGCCTGGAGACAGACAACACAGACACAGTAAAATACAGGTGCAGGATGAACCAGTCGCCTGGAGACAGACAACACAGACACAGTAAAATACAGGTGCAGGATGAACCAGTCGCCTGGAGACAGACAACACAGACACAGTAAAATACAGGTGCAGGATGAACCAGTCGCCTGGAGACAGACAACACAGACACAGTAAAATACAGGTGCAGGATGAACCAGTCGCCTGGAGACAGACAACACAGACACAGTAAAATACAGGTGCAGGATGAACCAGTCGCCTGGAACAGACCATTTACAGAGTCACGGTATACCAGGTCTGACAGGTGCAGGATGAACCAGTCGCCTGGAGACAGACAACACAGACACAGTAAAATACAGGTGCAGGATGAACCAGTCGCCTGTAACAGACAACAAAGATAGGTACACCAGGTCCGACATGCACTGCAATAGACAGCACAGACACGATACACATTACACACGGTCTGACAGGTGCAGGATGAACCAGTCGCCTGTAACAGACAACACAGACACAGTAAAATACAGGTGCAGGATGAACCAGTCGCCTGGAGACAGACAACAGATAAATTAGATGAATCTGATGAAACTCATGCCACCCTAAACCATGCGCTATCATAAAGTAAAATGGCAGCATACCTAACTAGCCCCCGTGCATAATTACAGTATGCTTCTATTTCAAACTCAGTACTTCGCAAATGAAGTAAGCTAGCAGCTGCTTGCGTTGATAGTTGATACTCGCTAAGGGTTTCATACTATACTCACTCTGCGGGTTGGCAGTGTGTGCCTCTTTGGCCAGCGCCAGGTCAAAGTGGGTCCTGTTCCCCTCACAGGTCAGCAGCATCTTGCGAACCATCTCCGCGGCAAACACACTGGGGGCGGGTCAGGGGTCATGTCACCGGGGTGAAACAAAATGGAGGGACACTTTGTGATTTGATTCAAATGCAAGACATTCAACCTCGGCGCAACTCATCACTCATGCAACCCGTGCGCCAAAAAAAAAAAAATCCTACTAAAACGCAGTAATTGGATCGAAACGTCAGCTGTGACTTGACTGAAACGCCACGCTTTCGATCCAACGCCAGCAATGCGAACCCAGTGCCACCAATTCGATCCAAAAGCAAGCCGCTCCGATTTCAGCGCCAGTAATGCGATCCGAACGCCGGTAATTTGATCCAAGCGCCAGTTATTCGACCCCAGCACTAGCAATTCGATCCAAGCGCCTGCAATTCGATTCAAGCGCCAGTATTTCGGTTCAAGAGCCAGTAATTCAATTCGAACGCCGGCCATTTCGATTCCAGCCCCCGCAGGGAAAGGGAAAGGGAGCCGGGAGGTTTTCCCACCATGTCCCCTTCCTTACCGCGTGGGCCACCGCGGCGGGATGGCCGGGTGCGTCTCCGGCTCGCCCTCCGTTGTAAACTGCTGCATATCGTCGTCGCCTCCCTCGTCATTGTTGGTCTCCTCACTCTCCGTGGAAGTGTCTGACGGCAGAGCAGGGGCGGATCCAGAAAATCTCCAAGGGAGGGGCCATTAGAAACCAGGAGGCCCCCCCCCATAATCCCACCTGTTGGAGGCCCCATCTTCCCACTTGTTGGGCCCCCCCAAAAAAACTGCGTCTATTGAGCTTATCTAGCTGTTCAGGCAACATCTCAACATCTGTGCAGGCTTGGAGGCCCTCTGTGCAGGTTAGGAGGCCCTGTAAAAGTGGTCATCTCTGTGAGTATAAGAGACCTCCAAGTTATGAAAAGCTTTACCAATCTTCTAACAAAGAAGTCTTCTCAGCTAGTCTTCTAAGAAATAACTAAGTGGGTAGGTTAAAAAAAAACTCATCGGATTTCGGCCACTTTATTTTCAGGAGGCCCCTTTTCAGCTTTTTAACTTTTTAACTTTTTATTTTATTTTTGAAAAAAAATCGGCCAAGGGGGGGGGCCATGGCCCCCCCCCCTTGTATCCGCGCCTGCGGCAGAGGACAAACAGTGAGGCGACGCTGAACGAGGGAATCCCACGCGCATGCGCAAAAACGAAAAGCATCGCCCAACGTGGGGCTCGAACCCACGACCCTGGGATTAAGAGTCCCATGCTCTACCGACTGAGCTAGCCGGGCATGCCGACATATGGTCCTAAAACGCCTTGTGATCAGAATGGGTTATTGAAATCCCATTCATCCAAAAATTAGAAAGAGTGACATCAACGGCAAGTCCATTCCTTAGCAACACGAACAAAATATTATGTCAAAATCAAAGGAACAAATGAAAAAGTCATCCTAATGTCAGTACGGATATTTGACGAGAATGACCCAAGCACCAATGCTGATGCATTGAACAATACACCAGCTATTCGATCTGAGCACACTGCGCACATAATTCGATCGACGTAATTAGAGATTGACATAATTAGAGACGCCAGTATTTTGATCCCACTTCCCAGCACCAGTACAGCAATCAACAAGCAATGTCATACGATCGAAACGCCTGCAATTCGATATGAACGCCAGTGATCCGACCCCAGCACCAGTAACGCGATCTAAAGGAAAGTAGGTAATTCGAACACAACACCAGTAGGTACCTAAATTTGATCTCAGTATCAACCAATAGATCAAAACGCCAGTATCTCGAAGTAAAGGAAACTATTCGATCCCAGCACCAGTACTTAATTTGATCAAAACGCCAGAAAGTCAAACCTTTCATCAGAATCTAACTCCATAAAAAATTACAGCTAGTAGACCAAAAGCGCCAGTAACTCAAACGAAAATCCAATAAGTCCGCCAAACACCAGAAGTGCCATCATAACACCAGTAATTCCGCCAAAGCATTAAAATCTTAATCGGCACCGAAACGCCAGTAATTCGATATTACGCCCAGCTATGCAGCCTAAGCACCAGTAAACCGAAACGCCAGTAATTCGACCCCTGCGGCACCAGCAGTTCGATCCTAGCACCGGCAATTCGATCTCAGTAGCCGTTGATATCGATTCCGCTCCTAGTCTTGGATGACCTTCTCGGTTCACGGTAAAAGCCAAGCGACTGTTCTTCGCTTTACTTCGGATGTTTACAGCGTGACTGTCCTTCATACCAACCATTTCGCTATCAAAGCACGGCACTTTGCTGTGAGGCACTATCACTCCGCTTCAATCCTGAGCATCAGCCCATTCGAAACAAGTTTTCAGTCAGGGCCATGATATCTGAGCATTATTTATAAGTGAAAATGGATAACTTTTCACCATGACTAACGCCTATGATGGGATGGACTACTGAGGATGCTGGAACCGGTGGAACAAAGCGGGTGATTTGGGCGCCGGGAAAGGTAGCGGGTTCGACGGACACCCCTCTACCGCAGTCTCGAAACGGAGTCGAGCTGGACCCGGGTCAGCCAGCGTGGGTCACGCGTGTGTCAGCGGGTCATCACAGGTCAAAACCACCGCCCACCGTGGGGCTCGAACCCACGACCCTGGGATTAAGAGTCCCATGCTCTGCCGACTGAGCTAGCCGGGCTTGCTGCAGACAGACATACCCAAAAAAACGAGCGGAGAGGACAGCTGACAGCTAAACCTTTGATTTCAAAGGTCAAAATACGTCACGCCCGACCCCCTCCCCACCCCTCCCTCCTGTCCTTACCGACTGAGGTTGTCAGCACGTCCTTGCAGAGTCGCAGCCACAGTGCCAGGTTGTCGTCAATGAGGGCCAGCATCATCGAGTTGAGCGTGTCGTGAATGTCGCTGATGAGCCGCTCGTCCTGCTCCGTGTCGAGCAGACCGAACAGGACCCCAGGGAGGCCGGTGTCGGACATCGTCACACCTGGGAGAGGAGGGGAGACGATCAGAAGGAACACAGGGACCGAGAACAGCCATTGAGGTCAGGAGCATACACTCAGACTTGGCGCAGACACAGACGAAGCAAGGACTCGGACACCAGACGCGAGGAAGACGTTGATTAGAGACCACAGCTGATCATACAGAGCTGCACCTCACAGTCCTTTATACATTCAGAATTTAGCACAAACATCTTCAACGCAAAAATTGGATATTATGTTTATGCTTACCAAATAACGAGGAACAGGGATATTATGCATTATGTCCTAATATGCAGTCGCACCTCACAAGTTTCCTACATACAGATGTCAGAGGCCCACGCGTAATAGCCTAAAACACGGTCCTGCCCAGCCATCTATGTATTCCTCCTCTGCCCCCTCCACCGACTGACCTGGCGTCTCTGTTGCCCCAGTCCCGGCGGCCGGGGCAGCCAGCGAGGCGGCGTGACGGCACACCTGGTGGGCCTCACGCTGGGCCAGCTGACGTAGGCAGCTGATGGCCGCCCGCCGCAGACTTAGCTGGTCACCGCACAACGACATCTGAGAGAACAGGTCACAGGGGGTCACGGGGGAGGTCAGCAGAGGTCACAGGGGGTCATGGGAGGTCGTATGGGGTTACGGGAGGTCACATGGGGTTACGGGAGGTCACAAGGGGTTAGAAAGGTCTTAGGGGCCAGCGAAGACCACGGGTGGTCTTCGCAGAGGTCACATCACATGGGTCTTCGCATGGGTCAGCAGAGGTCACAGGAGTTCACGGGAGGTTCAGGGGCCAATACATGTTGCGGAAGGTCATGGAAAGTTGGATACATGATGTAAGGTGTCAAAAGATCAGTTCACAGATCAGTGTATATTAAAAGGTTTCAGGAGCAGGACAGAGGACCAGAGTAGGTAATACTAGTGGTTGAGGTGGATTGGACACAGGCCACAAAAGGCAAGGATACGGGGTAATCGCAGGTGTCACATAGGGTAAAGGGACATACGACAGGGGTCAGAATGGGTTGGACATATGGAACACGGGGTCAGGGTAGATCAAAAGGGGGTCAGGCCTGACCTTCTAAAGAACTTTAGAAGGTCAGGCCTGGCCGCAGGGCCGTTGAGAGTCAGCCAGGTAGGTGAGAACGGTCGCCGTCAAAAGACTACAGTGGCTAGACGTTTGGTAGCTCACTGAGTCACGCTTGCAAAATGCGAGCAACACGACTCATTATTCATTGAGAAACGATAAATCACGCGGCTTTCAAGCGCGTAAATGTTCATGTGGCCCATGTGCGGAGCTACCTGCGAAAACGACCGCCCAACGTGGGGCTCGAACCCACGACCCTGGGATTAAGAGTCCCATGCTCTACCGACTGAGCTAGCCGGGCTTGGAACAGACAGACATACTAGTCAAACGGAGCAGAGAGCAGCGAGGCCGCCAATGAGTCATCTCAAGGACACACAGCATCAAATACTCACACAGAGCGTTGGCACCAGTGTGGAGAGGTTCACGTGGCGCGGCGCGAACATGTGCAGCTGCTGGAGACAGGCCATGGCGGCCGCGCGCACCTGACCGTCACTGTGGTCCAGCATCACGGCACAGGCGCAGAGCAGCGACGAGCGGGCCGCCGCGATCGAGTTACTGTTACCTGAGACAGGGGGGGGGGGGGAACCGAGTCAGCGGCCAAAATTGTCAATGTTTAGGCACTGCAGCAAGCTATAACAACACTTACACTATGTAGTACAACCAACGAGTACAGAGAATTCACCAACCTCATTAAATGACGTTCTTCAAAACACACACATGGATGCCACCCCACAAATCACAATACGGTCACATGATTCATCTCATATTGCAGAAGCAGATCTAACTAAGCAAATGATCCGCTTCATTCACCCAGTTGCAGCCAGCTGATGGTCTGGCACAACTTGTATGGCAAAAGTCCGCACAAGACTCAATCGTCCCTGTCAGTGTCCAATCACGTCATTCAGCTCTCCATGTTGTGTACGTACTACGCTCATGTGCGTTCAATCATCGAGTATGGCTGTGTCATATGGGCTGGAGCGGCTGCATCTCACCTGACAAGGCTCGAGCGAGTGCAGCACAAGTTTCTGATGTGGTTAGCTCGTTACTCTGACAGGCGCTCTGACGACCTGGACTACTTGGTTTTACTCTCACATTTTAAAGTGCGCTCCATCAAGTCTAGATTCATACAGTACGATATCATGTTTTTATTTCACATTCATCGTGGGAAGCTGGACAATGATGTGTTAGTCGGCGCGTTCGGTCTTGCCGTACCGGCACGGAGGACGAGGAGCACGGTTCTGTGGAACACACCGCGCGCGCGAGTGAACACTGTGCAACGATGTTTGTTTGTCAGGATCCCAGCTGCATGCAACTCATTCTTGCTCCATGACCCGACCACCGACTTCTTTACTGGTAGTTCATACTCATTTAAAACACGCGCTATCGGCTTCACAATTACGCAAGGCACTTTCATGTGATCTTTTACATCATACTCATGTGCTTTACTTTTATCGATCTTGTTTTATCGAACGTTTATTTTATGTAGGTACTGTCATCTTGTGTATTGCTTGTGTGTAACTGACTTCGTCAGTAAAAGGGCGATGGGCCTGTTGGCGATCTAATAAATACAGAATACAGAACACTGTACCAGCACCCCACAACTGACTTTCCCCCTACCCGACTTACCTTGCAGCTCGGGTCCCACAGTCGTGATGAGCGCCGCCAGACACATGCCCACACACTGGTGTACGTCAGCGTGCGCCGCGGGTACCTCGAGCAGCAGGCGGAGCGCCAGAGCCAGAGTGGGCTCCACGTATGTACGGAACATGGGGCCGCCCGACTCGGCGATCAGCGCCAGCGCGTGCAGAGCCCACACCTGGTGGAGAGACAATCAGCGGTTGTCAAGTGAATACACACTGGGGATTTTATGAACAGGCCGGTAAACGCCCTTAACTTTATAGCTAGGATGACGGAGAGCGTTGCTGGTTAGTTCAGCATAGGTGGTCACAACATATAGACAGGGGCAGGGGAGCGGCCACAGCTGACCACGATAATATGCCTGAGTCATCCAATATAAGCACATAACCAGCATAATGACTGAAAAAAACTAGCGACACAAAGTGAAAGTGACACAAAAAGTGAGTAGGCGACACAAAAAGTGAGTGAGTAAAACGACCCCACACACGAACCCACCACAGACGTGGATCGACATGTAACCGACCTGGACGACGGGCGAGGCCATGTCCTGTCCGAGCGCCAGCAGGATGCTGACGCTGGTGGTCAGGTGCTGGCTGCTGCCCATGCTGCCCACGTAGCGGTGCAGGCAGCCCAGCGCCAGAGAGTGGCCTGAGGACAGGAGTGAGGTCAGGTCAGGGGTCAGACAGATGACGGTGACTAAAGGTGGTCAGAGATGTCATAGATTCCTCTCCGGCAAAATGAGCTTGCAGCTTCAACGGAGCACACTACAGCACAGCGCATTCATAGAGCCGCAAGGAAAAACAGTTTGATCACCCGCCGCAACAAGAGAAGCATCAACCGTGATCATCATCTGAGCACAAAGACCATCCTGAGGTTCGCTCCATGGCGGCTGCACTAATATAGTAAACGTAGTAAAACCTAGTGTCATTCCCCCTCCCTTTCTACCGGTCCTCTCTCAAGACATCTCTCCCCTCCCTCTCCCCCCCTTCCTCATCGACTGACCAGTGCGACTGATGACATCCCGCGCAGACTTGAGCCTGTCGAAGCTGTTCTGAGCCATTTCGGCGATGAAGCGCGGGTCGCCCACCACCTGGGCCATTCGACCCAGAGCCTCCCCAGCGGCGCAGCGCAGCGTCGGGTTCGAGTTGGTCAGCGCGCCCTGCCGCGACGGGGGAGCACGGTCAGAGGTCACAGAGGTCAGAGTTTAAAGGACACAGAAAGGTCACAGGTCACATGTAACGGGAGACGAGACCTGAAGAGCCACAAGTCAACGGTGAGGTCATAGACCGTCGGATCAACAAGTCACAAATCATCATGGATCCAAGACCATCAGGTTACCTAGAGGTTATGTATAAGGACACATTGAAACCGAACGTAGGTTTGTGATACAACTACAAATAAGCTACGCCAATCGTAATTTACACCTTCCCTCCGCCCAAACCGGAACACCGCCTCACCAGTATGAGCTGCGTGGCCGAGTTTTTGACGTTGTCGTCCCCGAATGTGGCTTTTGCCTCGGCCAGTCCGCGGAGACCACTCAGCACAGCCGAGAAAATGTTGGTCTGGATCGCCTCCTGACGAATACCCTTGGCCTGGCGACGAGAGATCAACGGAGAGGTCAATGGAGGTCAACGAAGATCACTGGGAGGTCGTGAAAGATCAGCACACATGACTGACTGAACTCAGAGAAAAGGTAAAACATGTGAGGGCTCACTAAAGTCAGATGAGGATCAATGTTTCGCTCGATATTATCCAAGTAACTACGTGCTGTATTTACAGCACGTGTCTTTATGACAATCTTCAAACACACGACACAAAATTAACTCTGGGAGAAAACCATCACTCGTCATCCACCAACAGCCGGCGATGCCCCACCTGTTTGATGCACTCGGCGAAATGGTTGAGCATCTGCAGGCGGTGCTTGTTGGCCACCCGCGGGAACACGAGACCGAACAGGGTGACGGACTGGTCAATGACGGCGACACCCAGCGGCAGCGGGCCCGGCACCGAACGTAACTGAAACATAGAACCGGACAGTGGTCAATGACGGCCGCATCCAGCGGAAGGACCCCCGGCACCGACCGCAGCTGTCAACAACAGCAATAGAACACGTTACATCACGAAACCCAGCTGCTGTCATGGTTCAGCCCAAGATTACTTTATTATTAGTTCAGCCGGCACTGGCAGACATTTTTTTTACCGTACTCAGGCATGATCCCGTTTTATGATAGCCAGCCAGCTTGTCACTAATCACTGATAAAAACCTCGCTGGGTCAGCTGTCTTGTTTCTCTTTCACTAAATTCCTGTTACTTGTAGTTCTGTACACTTAATTGTTATAATTATGTTGACTACCTGTTGTCTGGCGCGGTACAGACAGGTGGAGTCGTGCTCCAGAGCCCCAGAGCCGGAGGCGCTGTTGGTCTGCAGCTGTGGAGTCAGGACAGGAAGAGGCACATCAGTACGTCAGTAACCAGCATATCGATTGACCAACCGGGGAGAGCTAGGACCCCCTGAGACAAGCACTCACACATTAGCTTGAAATGAAGGCAATAAATGACAACAACAAAACTGAGCTGCATTCGCAAGAAAATCGCCCAGCCAAATACAGTCCGGAGATTCTTTAATTCCTCGAAGACCAAATAGAACCCACACCATCCTAATTTATCTAGCCACCATCGCACCTGCTGAACTCACGGCATTTCCTGCCCTTCCTCCCCTCTTGTGTTTCCATCTCTCAACATCTATCCCACGGGTGCACGTCAGAATAGCTAGTGACATTTGAGCTAGTGACTTTTCAGCTAGTGCAAAACAGCTAGTGCCTCAAAACAGCTAGTGACAAAATCGCTAGCGTCAAAATAGCTAGTGAAACAAAATAGCTAGTGCTTCAAAACAGCTAGTGACAAAATCGCTAGAGTCGAAATAACTAGCGAAGCAAAATAGCTAGTGGATCAAGATCGCTAGTGGTAGAATAGCTCGAGTCAAATGAAAAAAATCCCTCTACTGAGATGGTAGGAAAGACATCGCGGAGGGCCCTAGGCTGGCCAAATTCAAAGTCAATTATACACGTGCGTTGTCGTAAATGACTTAGTTTCGTAGATTGTCGGTACCTATGTTGCCAAAAGTTTTTCCCAGAAGACGTAAACGTATACCCTCTGAGACCACCTGCGCCCCTCTAAAGCACCGCGTACAACCACGTTAATCTTGCATATTTGACTGAAACTGAAAGTCACTGGTCAGATTTTTGTCAGATCAGTAGCTTTCATGTCAGATCAGACTTCTTACCTTCGAGCATCCATGCATTTTTCTCCACCAATTCGTCAAACATCTGATCGGTCGCAAAAGTATGATTCGGTCATTAGGTCGTACTTACAACTGCTTCTCCTAGCCTAACAATTCTATTTTTTTCTGGCGTTTGGATTCCTGCTCTAGTAACCGGTTCTGGTGCATAGCCTTCGAGCCTTCTTCTTTTCCTTTGAAGCCTTAAATAAATGTTCGTGCATTTTGGCGCCATGGCCTGCACCTCAATGCCAACGTTCATGTCACAATCTTCTTAAAGGACCCGTCGGGAAAGAATTCACACTAGCTGCTCGCACTTCGTAGGCACTAGCTATTTTGCTTCACTAGCTATTTTGACACTAGCGATTATAGCACTAGCTGTTTTGAAGCACTAGCTATTTTGTTTCACTAGCTATTTTGACGCTAGCGATTTTGTCGCTAGCTGTTTTGAGGCACTAGCTTATTTGTACTAGCTCAAAAGTCACTAGCTCAAATGTCACTAGCTGTTTTGACGTGGACCCCTATCCCACCCCTATCCCCATCCTCACCTGATCTTCGACGCTGCGCTGGTCGGTGTCCTCGAGCCAAGAGCCGAGTATGACTGACTCGTCTGCGTGGCAGAGCAGCCGGAGCAGCGAGGTGGTCGTGTTGGCCGGGTTGTCGGCCAGCGTGAACTCGGCCACCAGCAGACGCAGCAGGTGCGTGTGGGTGCCTGTGATCGTCGCGGCAAGTCAGTTACATCATCACTGCCCATAAGTATGACGACACACTACAAACTGAATGCTGTCATATGGCGTTCAGTGAAGTCTGAAAAACACTGAATATTGGATAGCAATAAAGTTGCCACAAGAAGACGCAGGCTTCAGAAGTCTGAAAAAACACTGAATATTGGATAGCAATAAAGTTGCCACAAGAAGACGCAGGCTTCAGAAGTCTGAAAAACACTGAATATTGGATAGCAATAAAGTTGCCACAAGAATACGCAGGCTTCACGTCATTATTTGCGAATAGATTAATGCATCGTTTGAGCTTCACCAAGACGCGTAACGCACGACACTTCATCAGCTGACACTGTTATGACCAGACACTTCGTCAGCTGATACTGCAGATGCTGTTATACTGTTATGAATGAAAGGTCTCAGGCAGAGTTGAAATTTCAACAAACGTTTTACAGTTACACACATCCAGAGCAGGCAGAACCCTAATTGCAAAGCATCCCCTCACCTTCCAGTGCAGCGGCGGGCAGGAGGGAGAGAGTTTCGTAGAGTCTGAGCCGAACCATGGCCATGGCGGCCTTCAGGTGCTGGCCGTACGACTTGACCACCGTCGACAGACTGATGGAAAGTGGGGCGAGGTCAGGGTAGACTGACGGGGCTGTTACACAGACCCGATATAGTTTACCGAGGACAGTGATAATCAGTGCTGCGTGGAATATTCAGCCAGGGCAGCAATTGTGCCTCAGCCCTGACCCAAGCTTCTCCTGTAAGACTTTGGACTATAAGTGTCTCTCTCCGTCTTCTTCCTTTATTTCTTCTTTCTTTTTCTCCTCCCCTCCTTCCTCAGCTTCTCTACCTCCCTCTTCCTTCCTTTCTCCCTTGCCACACCACTCCCACCCACCTGTTCAGCATGGTGATGGCGGCCTCCAGAGGCACCAGCAGCCGTCGGACCTGGTCCTCGGTGACCAGCTCCGGACAGTGCTGGAGGAGGCTCTGCATGGCTGCCAGAGCGCCAGCACGGCCCTCCAGCGTTACCTGGTGGCGACGAGAAGGGGGGGGGGGGGGCTGTAGTAATGGCAGGTAGAACAGAGATTGCTTTGATGAGTGGTTGAAGTGGAACGGGATGGAAAGTGATATGTAATGAGAAAAGACACAAAAAACGAGCAACATGCGAAAAGTAAGGGCACGGATAAAACAGCTATTTAGAATGTTGACTAAGAGAAGCGCTACCACCTCAAGAACACATGAACAGTTCAACCAGGAGCTGCAGACAAGTCGTCACTGTTTATAGCTATCCCACACTGCTGAACAGGTGCCATTCAGTTGGTCACCCGTCCCCCTTCCTCCAGTGACCGTTTCAGCCTGGTCCGTCCGTCCGTCCGTCCGTCCCTTACCTGCCAGGTGAAGGCGTCGCCGCGCGCCTTCTCTGAGTCCAGCTCCTTACTGCTGCGGGGGAAGGCGTTCCGCCAGAGCAGCAGCATCCGCGGCAGCAGGCCTGCCGGCATCGCCACCGTCACGGGACTGACAGGGGTGGACGCGGCGCAGCGGCGGCGGGGAGAGATCGATGCATGCCAAACGGTTGAGGTAACACCACGTAGCGACAATTGGTATTGCCTAATGATTGGCATGGCTGTGCTCTGACTATGCTCAATGACGATGATGCTTGATGCATTGATCCTTTGACGTGAACCACAATTACACGCGACCTGCCTCTTATCTTGAGACATCCTTGTCCTATGACCTGGACCGGAAATTCTTTTACAATCTTCCCTTCAGACCAAAATAAGATCAAGCTGGACCCCATCCACACCTGTACCACAGTAGGCCACAATACGTTTTGTTTCTGCACTTCTTCTTTTCCACGATTGAACTCAATATCACCCCTATTGTAAGCTGTGACTAATCACCAGCTCTGACGACTGGGTGTCCCAGTGTAGAGACGGCTCCTATGAGCAGCCAGCCCTACCCCTGAATCCGCTCCCCTTCTGTGACCAGTGACCTCTCACCTCTGACGACTGGGTGTCCCAGAGTGGAGACGGCTCCTATGAGCAGCCAGCCGGCCTGAGTCCGCGGTAGCGACAACCGGGAGTTTTGCGCGGCGCTCCGTAGCAGGTCCTCAGCGACGTTAAATATCACCTGGGCGGGACGGAGTAGGCGTAAAGGGGAGACAGAGCCATACAGGTGCCTTGAGCGACGAGAGTCTCACACTAAATATTCAAAGATAGTAGGTTACTTGAACGTACCGGAGTGAAAACTGGGCTCACGCTGCAGGCATACGCACGCAGTGGCACTATACTAAGACATTATCTAACTGGGATATTTGAACTCCTGCACTCATGCCCTTGCTGTGTGGCACCCCCCAGCGGCGACAGATGTGCCGTATAATAGTGACCTTTCTCTGGCAGCGGAAGAGAGGACTAGTGTCTACTGACCTAGCCCTTGCAGTGCGGCACCCCCAGCGGTGATAGTGTACTGCGCAATGCTTCCTTTGTAGTGAGGTACCGACTACTGACCTTTCCCTTGCAGTGCGGCACCCCCAGCGGCGAGAGGTGTACTGCCCCCAGCAGGGCGGCCAGTGCCGCTGTGTAGCCCGACACGGCCTCCGGCGAGTTACGCAGACTGTCCAGACGGTCCGTGCACCTGCAAAATCAACACAGACATAGTAAACTTTCAGGACTAATGTAAAAACAAATCAGGACCAAATCACCGACCTCGAACAGTAAGTTCGACATCCTTAGTTACTTTGCGGAGAGCAACCTCAGCAGAGGTGATATTTCGCTTGCAATCTGACAAACTTAGGCTGACCTTAGACTGGGCTTCGATTAGACTTAGACTTAACTGAAAATAAAACGCTATTACTAAGCACGTCTTCAGCGTATACTGGATACTTCTGAACTTTGTGCACACACCCACGAGGACTGTGACTATGAACTACCATCTCAGCAGTAAAGCGCTGCACTGACCTGTCGATGAGCGGCGTGAGGTGGGACGGCACGGCGATACAGATGCAGCGCAGACACCAGGCGGCCGCGAACCGGGCCGCCTGACTGGGGTGCGTCAGAACCGAGACTACCGCGTCCAGTAGGTCTGAGACAGAGAAAGGAGACACCCGTCAGTAAGCATGTACAGAGCTGATATGATACGATAGCTGTGAACCGGGCCGCCTGGCTCGGGTGCGTCAAGACAGACACCACTGCGTCCAGCAGGTCTGTACAGAGAGGGCGGTGTCAGTGAGGATGCATAGAGTGTGACACGATAATGGCGGGGTGGGTCAGAACCGAGACCACCGCGTCCAGCAGGTCTGTACATTGTGGGAGAAAGCAGTGATCAGTATGGTTTGTATTGAGAATCTGACTGGCAGTGACGGCCGTGCATAAGATTATCATACATTTGATCGGCTGGAAGTACCTCGACTCAAGCGGTTGAGTAATGCTACAGACGAGCTCGACATGCCTCGAACATCGACGATGGCTACGTTTTATGCCAGTCTCTTACAGTCTAGTATGATGTTGAATTATCTACAGAGCTAAGCTCTTCATCCCCATTTCGACCAAGAACCCTCCAACCCCTGCTTCCCTCTCTATCCGGATTATCCGATCGGAATTACTCACTGACAGTGTTGTCGCTGATGAGGTTGCCGGCGGCCGTGCCCAGTCCCTGTACCAGGCCGCCGAGCTGCTGCAGCGCGCACACGATCGCCTGGTGACTGTTGTGCTCCGGAGACTCGCGGGACGCCTCCGCGGCCAGGTCTGGGCGGGATAGAGACAATTATATTGTGAGCAGGAGAACGATATCGGGTATGCAGGCTCAGGTACAGAAACATATAAATTCATATAAACTCAGATCAAATATCAGCAAAATAAAACGATGCGCTGACTCCAGTAGCTCCCAACGATATTGGGTAACGTAATTCAACACGCCATCAAATTGTGTGACTGTACAGATATAGAACGGCAGTTGGAAGCAATATTACTTTGCTGGAAGTATTTGCCAAAAATGCAGGGAAATCACTCCGAAAAAAAACATCTAAAAGAATACCACACAGTCAGCCAGTCAGTAATACCAGTCAGCTATTTCCACGGAGCCCAAGTATGGCTCGGACATGAGCACAATCAGCAATTATCTACACAATCCTCAATCCGTCCTCTCCCGCCATTGCTTTGTCACCACCAACACCTTGTAACCCGTCATCACCACTCACCGATGTTGACTTGTCTGCTGACAACGGCCACCAGCTCTTTGCAGGCGGCGAACTGAGTCTTCTCGCCCAGCATCCTGCCCAGAGTCGAGTGGAGGATGTACAGCACGCACTTCCGCACGTACACTGAGTCCACGTGGGTGACGGCCGCCTGAGGAAGACGGAGAGGGAGAGAGGGTCACATGACAGGCAGCCGATGGCGATCGGAATGTTGAGGATAGCAAACGGCTTTCAGACGCTATGAGAAAAGTTCAAGGAATGGCAATATCATATAAGTCAACTCCAGACAGTAAGTATCAGACTCCCTGTCGGCAACAATATGCCACAGGGACCGATCTGAGCGCTGTGATCTCGTCATACCACCCGGCAGCAGCTGTAACACTGCAAGTACTGACCCGCGGGCTGGCGGCCAGCTCCAGGATGTGTCCGATGAAGGTGGCCAGGTGACGCTCCAGCCACAGGCCTCCCAGCGTGTCCACCAGGACAACGTACGACTGCGGACACAGGGACACCAGATCAAAGGACAGAAATCCACAGCCACAGGCCTCCCAGCGTCACAGGCCTCCCAGCGTGTCCACCAGGACAACGTACGACTGCGGACACAGGGACATCAGATCAAAGGACAGAAATCCACAGCCACAGGCCTCCCAGCGTGTCCACCAGGACAACGTACGACTATAAGAAAGAAGACAAGGATAAAGGTAACATGTCAGGCAGATAGCTGAGAAGCACATCCACAGCCCGGTACAAGCATGTAAAAACTTATAATACATTGTGTGTTGAGAATAATCACCTGTAACATACAACAATGATGTGGTCCTAAATGATGCATTCCCTGGCATAATTGACACGCTCACTTTAGCGTGACCAAGTGCGCCAACCATGAAGTCTCGGCGCTACCATTGCATTAAACCTCCTTATCTCCCCAATACTCACATGAGTGATACCGACGCGGACCTCTCTGCTGACGGCAGGCGCGCCCTTGATCATATCTCCCGTGCCGCGGAGGAAGCCGCCGCCGCCCCGTAGGAACCCCGTCATAAGGAGACCCAGCGCCTCCTCGAGAGAGGTGAGACGACCACCCGGACGACCGGAGCCTGGAACAGAATAGGGGTACAACGGGTCATCAGGAGACCAAGCCCCTTCTCGAGGGAAGTGAGACGACCGCCCGGACGGCCTGAGCCTGCTGCAGGACAGAGCGGAGGTTAGGCCGGGGTTTATCCAGCGGGTATGTTCAATAGCGACGGATTGCGTTATTTTTCACATCTCATTCGCTATACCGTTGAACTTTACATCGAACCACTAATTGATCTCTGTAAGGCACGTCACTTGTGTGTTGACCACCCAGGTATCACATTACAACCACACCAATCCACAAATCAGACAACATCTTGCAATCTTAAAACGGTACCTGTGAATCACATAAGCAAGCAGTACATATGTACATTTAAGGACACACACAGACCAGATTTGTCTATGAAAAGTGCTGTTTCATCAGGTAATGGCGCCTCGACACTAGCATTTTTGGAAATACCAGTCCACTTTGCGTGTCACATAATACACAAACAACGGCGTCTGAGCGGCATTCAACAGGCAACACCACGACATGTAATGCATCAAAACGCCGACAAAACCGACATGAATCCGTGTCCTGCACACGAAATGCCGACTGGAATACATTATACATCCACAACATCTAACAATCTACAAGCCGCGATGAACGATCTACAAGGCAACTCAGTATATTATGTCAGCAAAACTTGTGTAATCTATACAAGCCAACTGTCAGGAACTCCTTGGTTTTCCTTGCGCCGCCAGTCGCCGCAACGCAAGGCAGAGTAGAGTGACGCTCTCGGCACACATACGGAAGTCATTACGTGCCATAATTGCAGCGGTTCCGGGGCGGCCGGGCCAAACGAATTGCCACCGTCGGGCAGGCGGCGTCCGCGGTATATATCGTCACAACGGCCATCTAAGTCTCCGCCGCCGGCCGCGCCAGCTGGGGCCGACAGTGGCTGTGTGGGTCTCGGTCTCTCTCTCTCTCTCTCTCTCTCTCTCTCTCTCTCTCTCTCTCTCTCTCTCTCTCTCTCTCTCTCTCTCTCTCTCTCTCTCTCTCTCTCTCTCTCTCTCTCTCTCACACACACACACTCTCTCCGGGTTGCTCTCCAGAAGACTGAGACAGACTACAGAAACGGACAGACCAGCTGACCGGCCAGCCACATCTATTCCTTAGACTACAAGTCGAGCGACAGCGCAGCAGCAGCAGACGGGGACAGATCCCTACAGAGGCCCTCGCCGTTACCGGACAGCCGCCACACAGCCCGAGGTCACCAAAGGTCACGGTCAGCCGCCGCTGGGGACGGCCGTGGATCGGTCGCAGAAGGTATATCACTCCCAGGAGAGTGCCATACCGCCCGGCCAGGCCGGCGAGCGGCGGCGGATGCCACCCCAACCACAGATCCGACAACCGTAAACTGACAACGTGACCGGGATATACAGCAGCTGGCAGCAGGGCAGGGCAGACTGTACCGCGATCCGTAATAGCTCAACTGCCGCTAACTGGGTAACACGACATGCAATAATTATAACCACGAGTCAAATGACAAGCATCGCGGGTCGCAGCCTCGAGATTCAAGTCAGTCTCAAATGAAGCGAATGACTATCGAATTCCACAAGTCAGACGCCATTTTCGCGGCTCAGACGCAAAATGGCGAGCTAGACGTGGGTTTCACTGGACGCAGATGCGAGTTGTTCGACACTCTCAGCCGTCAGTGGGCGTCGTTCACCCACCTTTGACGTCTTTGGCGAGATGCGGCGGCGGCGGCAGCTGCGTCTGGGCCACCAGTGTGCCGAGAAGACGGGCCACAGCCCGGCGGACCTCGTAGTTGGAGCCGTCGAACGCGCGGAAACACAGCGTGGCCACACTCTCCAGCTCGGAGGTGTAGAGGAACGGCGCGTGGCTGATCATCTCCTGGAGACACTGTGAAGGGAGGAGAAGGGGGAGTCAGGGGCGCCGCATCTCCTGGAGGCACTGTGAAGGGAGGGACGGGAGAGTCAGAGGTGGTTCGTGGGCCGTGACTATGGCTAATTAATGATCGATGATCATCTTCCGAAAATCTCATAAGAAAGGGATACAGAGAGTTGAGGACTGCTGAGGAGAGGATTTGTATTTGTATTTGTATTTGTAAAGGCACGAACTATCCACACGGATGTGGTTTTTACAGTTCTTAGTCATATGAGGTACATAAAGCGAGGGTAAAACGCGACACATACAAATAAAAAAACAAAAACATACATACGCGCCTATTCCTACTAAAATCAGCTTCAAGTGACCTGAGAGAGGAGCCGCCGCTGCAGCTGTCTCTTAAACTTCCCGACTGACATATTCTCGCAGTCGTATGGAAGTCTGTTCATTTCCAGAGCTGCGCGGTACGCGAAACGCCTCTTCCCGGTTTCGGTTCTGACTCTTGGTAGAGATAAAAGATTGTCCTGTCTGGTGTGTCGCAAACGATCGGGAATGTCGCGGTTTGTGGTAAAAAGGTCGGCAAGACTCTCCGGCCTACTGGTGCGGCGGACTTTGTGGAGAAGGCAGAGGGTCTGGAAAAGGAAGAGGTCAGGAGCGTCAAACCATCCCAGCGCCTCCCGCACACTTGAAACGTGGTCGAATTTACGTTTTCCGGAAACAATTCGAGCCGCAAAGTTGATGAGTTTTTGAAGGCGGTGCAGGTTTCCGGCTGCGCCAGAACCGTACACGACAAGGCAGTAGCGGATGTGCGAGAACACTAGGGATGTGATGATTTGAGGAAGGATTTCAGGCGGGAGGTAGTGACGTATGTGGGAAAGGCTGACAAGGATACCGCAGCACTTTCGGGAGACGGCAGACACGTGAGCGTCCCAGGTCAGTTGTTGGTCAAAGATAACTCCCAAGTTTCGCGCCTCAGGACGAGGGGTCAGGGAGGTGTCGCGAAACTTGACAGTGAATTTTGGGAGTGAGCGCAGATTTTGTCGTGAGCCAATGGTAAGAAGTTCAAACTTGGTTACGTTAACTTTTAAACCGTTGCTAAGAAAATAATCTCCAAGTGAGGCAAGAGCGGATTCCATGCGAACGATAAGTGTTTGAAGAGCAGATTTTGGTTCCGAAACCATGACCTGAGTATCATCGGCGTATTGCACGACGAGTGCATCCGCCGCATGAAGACTCAGGTCATTTGCAAACGCGCAGAAAAGGATCGGTCCGAGAGAAGAACCTTGAAAAACTCCTTGATTTATGGGACGTGGAGTGGAAGTTTTCACCTTGCCATCAGAGCCAGTGAAGCTGACACTCTGTGTGTGACCGTGCAAGTAATTTTGAAACCATGAGATGTCGATATTTAGAGTCCGAAGTTTTTCCAAAAGTTTCCCATGGTTAATTACATCGAAGCATTTACTGAGGTCGATCAAACAGAGGAGAGAGATTTTACCGGAATCGATCGCCGAAAGCAAGTGATCACTGATGAGGGTGAGCGCCGTCTCCGTAGAGTGCCGCGGGCGGAAGCCGTGCTGGGTGGGGGAAAGGAGATGGTTGGATGATAGGTAATAGTAGAGTTGGCGCTGGACCGCCCTCTCCACTATTTTGGCGATGACTGGGACGATGGAGATGGGACGGAAGTTTGAAGGATTGTTAGGATCACCGGTTTTGTGAATGGGGTACACGAGGGAATGTTTCCAGGAGGCAGGGATTTCGTTGGATGTGATGCAGGAGTTGACGAGGAATAAAAGAACGTGACCTATGGAGTTAAAGGAGAGCTTCAGGATGCGGATACAAAGGCCGTCCGCACCACGAGCCGGGGAGTTTCGCATGCTTGACACGATGCGGTGCAGAGCATTCAGGCTGATAGGGTGCAGGGCAAACGAACACGCACCCACCCTCGGTAGGCGGGTGGGGAGCGAAGGTGGCTGACCTAACGCTCTCAGTTCATTCGCGACGCTCGAGCCGACGTTGACGAAAAACTCATTCATATCGTTCGGTGACACTGTAGGCAGCACCTGAGCACTGGAAGAACGCTTACTGCCGATAATGTCCTTGGTAGTTTTCCAGCAGCTGGCACGGCCGCTCTCGAGTATGCGAGCGCCGAAGTACTGTCGCCTGTCAGCTCTAAAAGCGGCTCGAGCGAGACGATTCACAGAACGGTAAGATTCCGATCCGTGACCTGACATTCTGAGCGCCTGCGCACGCTGCATGATGAGTTGTCGAGTGTTGTCTGATATAGGTGGTGCTGACGGATTTCGCACAGTGACAGATTTCACAGGAGCATATCTAGAAACAATGGGTGACATGCGCTCCAGAAAGGCAGACCAGGCATCAGTCACATTCGTGGAGGAAAACACAGATGACCAGTCGGTTGCTAAGAGCGCGGATTCGAAACCAAGTAGGTCGAAACGTTTGAAAGAGCGGCAGGTAATGACTGATGGCTTAAAACGCGGACGAGGTATACAAAGAACGGCACGAATAAAACGGTGAGTACTAAAATGACAAACGCGGGTACCTGAGTGTTTAAAGTCACGGTTTGACATAAGAACGTCGAGTAACGAGCCAGATCTAAAAGTCGCTGTGGTGATGGGCTGATTCAAAGAGTAGCTAGAGATGAACTCAAGCAAGCGCCGTTTAGACTGGGAGTCAGACAACAGATCACAGTTAAGGTCACCGGCAAGAACAATGGGACAGTCAGGGTAATGGTTCAATACAAATTGGTACTGTGACTCTAGAGTATCGAAATCAGCTTGGAGAGCGGCTGCTGTGTGACGCGGCGGACGGTACAGTGATGCCACAATGATGCGACCGCTGTCCCATTTGAATAAACACCAGAGTGACTCGAGTTCCGAAGCGCTACTAACTCGTTCCGGAACGACTATGGGTTTGCACTGGTATTTATCGCGATACAACACAGCTACTCCACCATATCCTCGCGGAGGCCAGGACCTGTCACACCTCTTTATACTGTAACCCGGGAAGGTCAGTAATCGGTTTGGTGTGCAAGGTTTGAGCCATGTTTCCGATATACTGATAAAGTCGTAAGCGAAAAGATCAATCTCGTCATATAATTCGACAGACTTTGGTTTGAGCGACTGAACGTTTAGGGCGCACAGTCTGAGCTCGCGGGGGCCGGCCGAGCCGGTCCAGTCACATCGGTGACGTCTGGGACCCCGTTTGCGCACGTAGGAGCGTCTGCCGCGGTGGGTCGGCCGGTCTCGCCGCGCCCGGGCCGCAGCCGCTTGGTGCCGCTCGGCTCTGCTGGTCCGCCCAGATGCTGACTCCGATACATGGGTGGGCCGGCCCGCCTCGCTCGCCGCCGCGACCCGGGGTCGGGGCGGCAGAGCGGCGGGCGCAGTCGGGACGTCACAGTCAGCTGATCCGGTAGAGCGCCGGGAGTCCCACGCCAGCGGCCGACGCACGTGAGGCGGTGATTGGCCGTGAGAGTCTCGGACGATCGTGACGTCACGGCGGGCCGCAGCCGGAGGGCACTGTGTGGCGCTGTCTGGGTCAAGGTCAGCTATCTGGACGAGCAGGGCACCGGCGAGCCGCGGCTGACCGGTCTCAGGGACCCGGACATGGAGCGGCCGAAACAGGTCAAAATCAACTGCACGCGCCCCGCCATCCCTTAGTCGTGTCGACGGACGAGACAGGACGCCTCTGCAGAGTTGAACATCCGGTGGTTGCAGAGCCGGGTGGTTGTCGGAGCGATGTTTAGTCCATGGGTTCGGAGCCGGACAGGCGACGATGGTCAGCAGCCGCACCACGGCGAGGAGCGTCACGTACCGTAAGATGTCCTGATGCATGGTGACGCGTAATATGACGCAGCGGCACTCGCTCACTCTCGCTCACTAACCGACGGTGGTTGGATCACTTCTGTGTCTCAGTCATTCGGTCACAATAAGGCGCACTCACACTCAGGAAAGGCGCGGGGAGGGCTCACGGGGAGGAGAGCCACACTAGGGCGGCGCGTCCGCTCGGGGAGACGCGCACAGCCGGACTGACGCGCACAGCCGGACTCACGCGCACAGCCGGACTGAACGACACATGAGGACGAACGTTTGTCCGACGAACGAGGACAAACACCAACAACATCAAACAAACCAGCCAATGGGCTTCCACACCAGAACGTCCCGTAGTCGGTGGCCCATAGATCTCTAGATTCCCGGCAACGCACTGACCCAATATTCATCTCCCAACGACCGCCTCGAACAGAGACCGATGCTCCCGTTCGAACATCCTCTTTCGCCCTGGTTCAGGCTATGTCTGGCGCGTCCTTCGCTCCACGGTTAGCACTCCTCGCAGTCAGAAGGATCCTCTTCTTTCACTTCACATTCAAAACGAGAGACCCTTGTCCTTGCCCATGGACATCTCCAGCATATGTCCGTAATTGGGACGGCAGTACGTGACCGCTCCGCTCTCTCATCCAATTCCTAACTCATCTCTCATCTCTGCAGCCGTCTCCTTTTAGCACAGTTCGACTCTCGACCTTTACCACTAGCTCCGTGAGCGAACCACTAGCCCCACGAACCTCTGACCAGCCCTCCTCGCCAATCTTCAGTCTACGGAACTCCTCCTACCAGCCAGTCTTCGATCCAAGCTGACAATACCCACTCCACCAATCTATACTCTCCCGTCTACGACACTAACTTCTCCAGCCAGCCAGCCACCAGCCAGTCTTTGACTCAAGCTGACAATATCCTAATCCGCCAATCTGTTCTCTTCAGCAGCCCTGCGACCCGATTCCCTAACCCACCCTGGCCGCCCCCGTTCCCGATACTTACAGCGGCGGCGGCGCATCTGACGGCCATGACCCGGTCGGTCATACAGTGGCGCGCCACCTTGTAGATGTCCTTGTGGACGCCGGCAGCTGCTGAATCCATACCGGCACACAGCTGCTGGAGTGTGCGCATCACTTCGCAGCGCATCAGGGATTCGGCGCTCCTGTGAGAAGGGAGGTCAGGTCAGGTCAGGTCAGGTCAGGTCATGTCAGACCAGGGCACAGAGCTGCTGAAGTGTGCACATCACTTGGCGGCGCATCAGAGACTCCGCGCTCCTGGGGAGGGGAAGGTCAGGTCAGGCCAGGTCACAATGACACAAAACTGCTGGAGTGTCCATCATTTCACAGCGTATCAGAGACTCAGCGCTCCTGTGACAGTGGGAGGTCAGGTTAGGTTAGGTCAGGTCATCAGGTTAGACGGATGAAACGGTGACAGAACGTATAAGTCAAATTTTGTTTTGTTTTGTTGGGTTAGGCCCTTTCGGTCGACAAGACCATTGCAGAGCCGGAAGGATGATAGGAATTAGGGGGAGACATTGGTCTGGGCAGGCACCCTAGAGAGTCGCCGGGGCTGAGCCCGTCCAAATGGACAGGCCGATCAGCCCCCCAAGCACTCTCTGCACCCGGCTACGGGTGCAGCTCCCTCGGGAGCAGCGGTGCCGCTCCAAGGGAGCAGCCCGCATGAGATAAAGTTGCCTGTCCAGCCCGGAGGGGGGTTGCGGTGTGGAGGAGAAGGATTTCTGTTTCCTGAGGATAGAAGCACGGATAGGTGGTAAGTCAAATATACAGCGTCGGTCGTCCTACTGGGCAATGGGAGAGCGCTGATCACGAATCGTACGCCATCAGAGAGTTAAATACCTAGCCGAAAAAAGGAGGAGACAGTGTTACCCAGTGCTTACCAGTGAAGACAGTCGGGTCTGAGAGAACTGGGAGAGATCAGAAGGGACTGCCGAGATGACACCAGCACGGGGGGGGAGGAGGAGGAGGGCGGTAGCCATGACCGTCGGCCATCGATCTTCCCCTCCCCTAACCATCCGCTCGACCCCGTGCCCCCGGGGAGCGTCAGTAAATACACTACGCCCTGCCTACCGCTCACACTTAGCCCGTAAAACACCGCCCTCCGCCCCTCCGACAGCGGAGCCGGACACCGAGCGATCGGCGTCAATCCGACCACCGCCCGCCGCATCCGGGCGCTCACCGACCGACAATGCATCGCGGAGTCTGAATAAATCAGTCACTCAGACATACCGCCACTGCGGAGGAGGAGCTCAGCCATACAGTCAATGACGTGGTAAGGTGTCGTGTTGGTGCCGGATCCGTCCCAACACAGCAGATACCACTCCAATGATGGACTCAGTGTATCCGGCTCGGGATAATACCTTAGGCCGATCGCGGCTCGTTACAATTACAAAACAGTTCGGCCCCATGAGACGAGACCTACCTGCAGCGCGACTGTGTCGGGACTTCCTGTTGGTGGTTCAGAGGGAACAGATAGCCCCAGCTAGGTTGAAGCCCTGTCAGTCCAGTAGTCCCCACAACTGAGTCTGTCATGCAAATGCCTGGAACTTCAGGGTGGTGTGAATAGGCCCGCGGTTCCCCGTCTGATCCAACAGTGCTTGCTTTGACAGAAGCAATGCTGATTGCTGTGAGTCTGTGCGCATGCTTATCTGGGGCGTCCTTAGGTGCTCGGCTTTACGGTGGCCCTAGGGACGCCGCCAAAAGCCAGTATCAACGCGTTCGAGTCGATAATACCGCATATGAGCACCACACGGTCCTAGCCAGGTCTAGAGATAACGCAGCTTCCCCAAGCCTTCGACGCTATGCTTGATACAGTGAAGGGCATTCTACAAACCTGTGGGGGCGTCTGAAGGTATCAGTCGCCGCGCTCTTCCACCCCGTGATATCCTCTATGGGCCTGTGGCGTGCCCTTTGACCGTGACCATGTGGTATCCCCTGTGGGTCTGTGGCGCGCCCCTTTGACCGTGACCCTGTGGCGGGCCCTGTAAGCCGCTGATGAGGTCAAGAGCCCATTTATTACTGCCGGGTCGGCCCCGACCGTGTGCTAAATCCACCGCAATCGATACAAGGCCTGTTCATCGCCAGAGCCACGAACCGACCCACCAGACATTCTTTGTTGCCGAAGAACAGCTAAGCTCGATGCTAAGAAAAATTGACTTAGGAAAGGACGCTGAAGACAGGTCAGGGCAGTGAGGGGAATGTTCGACGTTTGGTATTTGTCATCAAGCACTCATTCAGATGTGTGCTGCAAACAGGAATTACTCCACTTTGCTTCAAACTAGGGTAGCGTTTGGTTCGCTGTTTCGTCTCCCCTCCTCTGGTATGCGGGTCTCTTCGAGCCATTCCTTTTCGGAAAGTTATCCATTCGGGCCGGTGGCTGGACGACATCAATACCTGTCCGTCTGACTCACGACCGTTGTCCTGAGGCACTGGAGCGGGGAACACTGACGGCAGGAGGTTCCAGGTAGTTACCACAGCGGAGACACACCGCAGCCAGGTGAGACTCCCGAAACAGATTACCTATCCAGCAGTCCACCAGTCCGCGGGAAGGCAATCAACTAATGCAGACAAATGGTTAACCGGTTCTCCCGGCAGTGTGGGCCAGGTTTCTCGGGTTAGGGAAATCTCGTTCGCCCTCGCGTACCGTATCATTCGTAGCACTAACAGTGGGCTAGACCCTTCCCAACAGCGTACTGCGTAACTCAACCACCCATCATGATCTCAAGAAGCCAAGCTGTCTGGCGCAAAGGCTGGCCTAAAGATCATCAGTCCAAAGATCAACATCCTGTGTGGCTGGATAGTGACCAATCATGATCACTCCATCCAATCGGCCTCGATCGGCTACTGGCCGCACTGGCAGACGCCGACTTTTTGACCCCACAGAACCAGACCACAGACCCAGACAGCTACCACTGACCCAGACCATCACAGACACCGACCAACACCGATCATTCTACCCGGGTCACGATCGCTGGCTCTATCCCACTCTGTGTGCTGAGAGACAACAGGGCAGCGGCGACCGTCCCGCCCGTCCTCACCCCCTATAGACCCGCCCGTCCCTCCATAGATCCACCAGTGTGACGGCGGTCCATTGTTGGATCTCAACGGTCCGTGGAGAGACGGAGTCCCATGCCAGGCAATGCACTCAGAGGTGCTACCTGGCTTCTGTGTGCCACGGTCCGAGGAGTCGTAAAGAACTTTGAAATGGAGACAGGTGCGCCGTAAATGTCCTCCTCGGTCGGTGCTGCCAAAGGTAAGCCCATCTATTCTGCGGGTCGGACAGACGGACAGGTAAGGGAGACCTGTGCTGTGTCTGTCAGGCATTGGATGAGACAGGACAGGCAGGTAAGACAGGCTCTGGAATTCTGGTAGACATTGGCCGGGACAGAACAGACACGTAGGACAGCACAGGACAGCCCCTGCGCTGTCTTCCTGGCAGCGGTCCGGACAAGTTACGCCGATGGACATGAAAGGCGGTAAGAGTTTGAGCGCTACCGTACCTTGCTTCCATCAGACAGTCAACTGAAACAGACCCTGCATGTGGCCGAGGCAAAAACAGAAATGCGTTACATATACAGTAACATACAATAAGCAACATTTACAGAAATGTGGAGCGGCAGCCTGCACAATGTGCACATCTGTCAAACAAGGCATGAAAGCACCGCAGTCCGGGTGGCTACGGAAGCAGATCGGCATATACGTAGGTCCGTCGGAGGGGACTAATCTTACAATGGGCAGCAGTGCAGGAGTCCTCCGGAGGCTGCTCTTACAATGGCCCACAGGTGAGAGGGTCGTGGGAACAGTCGGCAGGGAACGGGAGCGATTCATCACTGATGACCGATGTCTGCCGGCCCGAGAAGCGACCCAGACGGCCGAGACATGGTCGAGAGAGGTGGCTGAGAGGCGGTCGATGTCGGCAGCACCTGGTCGGTACCGAGACCGACCCTGGGTCACGACCGCTGACACCGACACAGAAAACGATGTTGACACCACCGCCGACAGAGCCACTGGTACTAAAAGTGGCACCGATGCCCAATGGCGATACTGACACACAAATTTGTATTGTTAACCCGCGAGTTGCTGGGGGGGGGGCGTTAAACGCCCCCCCCCCCGATTGTGCGCCAAATTTTGGGTACCTATAGGGAATTGATTGAAGTCTATTGTGACAAAATTTCAAAAAAATCGGTCGGAAAATTTTTGAGATATCGAGGTTTTAGTGACGTCATGATTTCTGAGTTTTCGACCAAAAACGGCATACTCGTATGTTGAAAAAATCATATAAAATCACAGAATAGACATACAGACATGCCGTAAACGGCATTAGACTGCCAATACCATGAACAATCAAATGGCTATCTTCGATTATTGATTATCGTTTCGCATTTGCCAAAATCTTGATCTGAATCTTGGCAATTTCTCGTGACTACTTCACGACCATGATACATACATTTCTTTAATTGAACTTTTTGAGCCAAACACGTACACATATGATAAAATGAATGTCACCATCGTGTTCTACGCCCCAAACTACCCATAAAACATGTGTCACAGGCTGCGAATATCAGTTTTGATTTTCGGGGATATGTGCCTACCGGTTGACCTGACCTTGACTGACCCCTACATGGGGCTGACACTCTTGTAGGCCTTATATGATGGATTGTGCACCGTTTTGACAGAGTTTATGACGAGAGGCGCTCATTGCGAAGTCCTGAAGTCCATGCTACTGAAAGCCCGATTTCAGGTGTTTGACCTGACCTTGACCCGACCTGTGACCTCAAAATTCAACTTAAAGTATTCATCTGAAGCGTCTCGTCGCGTTCTTTCGTTTGCCGCCTCGTGCGTTTCGCTGCGCCCATTGGTTCTCGAGTTATCGGCTGGGGGCGTTTAACGCCCCCCCCCCCCCCAGCAAACGGTGGGTGGCGAAATACCCCAGCAACTGCCGGGTTAAGTCACACACAGATCGGGATAAACGCAGACACTCGCACAACCTGATGATGGTGATAGGGGTGATACGAGATGAATGTTACGCCGAGACGGAAATCGGTACCTGTATCGGCACATTTAAGATCAACATCAACATCAACAGCAACAAGACATCAACATCAACTAATCGCCTGGAATGGATCCAATTTACAACAAACCACCACATCCGTCCGGCCGAACCCTCACCGATAATCCCCTCAATAGCGGGGCCGACTTCCGTTTGATCAAAGCCGTTCGGCCAGCCATCCATTTCTGGCAGAGTGGAGAGCATCAGCGAGGGGTGGGTCGGGTCGGGTGTGTTAGAGAATAACCGGGCGGAACAAACATTAAAACAAACTAGCGCAGACTTTCTTAAGACAGACAAGCAAGGAGCACAGACAACCCTCAGTGGAAGCAGTCCAGCCACCAGCAGCCCAATTGCATCGCCGCCACCGCTCAGGTGTGTGATGAGACCAGCTGATTTCCACACACGGGGCCGCCAGCTCCCCAGTCGCGGCAAACCACTCTCAGTCGGGTGGACCCCGCCCCTCCTCTCTCGGGCTGGCCGGTCAGTCATTAGCGGAGCTCCTACCGTGGGAAGCAGACCACCGCCTTCCAGACGGACCGAGACGGCAACGCCGATAAAAAGGATACACAGACGGACACGACTGAGACGGAGATGTGCAAATAGATAGGGACGTCTCAGCGAACAGACGGAGAAACAGCATGCAGACGGAGACGGTCCGAAGACCCGATTTGCAGTGCAGGTCGCGATGGGAATCACCGCGGCCATCAAGAACACGGCCATACACGGTACGACTAACGTTCAGTGCTATATTCCACTTTATAATATCAACACACCTACCACTTTCGGTACATGAATGCTTACAAGTGCGGATGCACATACACCTAGCCAGATACAATCAGACCCCGCTCAGAGCAGGGCAATGGATGGGACAATGGATCAAACCCGCGTCGCATGCGTCACATTGATACAATAGTGTCTGGGAGCAGAGCTGCCATAGACCGGGCGTGTGTTTCCCAGACACACTCCAGACTGGATGGCTCTTCACTTCTTTAGGCAATACTGCTGTTTATTCAGGGAAATAAGATACAGGATAGTTCTTCATACGATATCGCTGTTTGTTGGGGAAATATGAAACAAACACAAACTTGGCGGAGTGGACCAAAGATTTCTTTCAAAGGAACGTCGAGCGGCGAGCGCTATGGAAGGATTTCAAAGTTCCACACTGATAAGTCAGACGGGTTATCACTATTTGAGCACATACTTCTAGAATGTGCCCTGTCGCATACCCGTAGTAACATCATATCGAATGCTTACTCCAGCATGTCAGCATCGCCAGTCCATATTATGAAGTACTAATTGAACAAGACCATTACAACTATCTAGTCCAAGTAAAACTATTTATATACACTGTGAGTAAAACTAGCATACCCATAAAATCCAGCTACATCTCACAGCCCATTATTCAGCCACCAGCGAATCTGACGTCCACTGCAGTGTTTCCACGCTATGATTGCCTCCCGCTGCCTCCCCCATCGACCGCCGATTGTGACTATCCTATCCGGAGACGGACGACAGCTGTACGGGGTGTGGCCGCTCCCAGCCATGCCAGCAGAGGCGGGGACGGGGACGGGGACGGGGGTGGTCCTTACAGACCTCGGTCCTCCTCTCTCGTGCTGCGACATCGCCAAATATAGAACCGCCCTCATGTGGGAGGGGTGGAGCCAGAATTGGCGACTCCAGCGAGCCGCTCCACACAGGTCGGACAGAACCAAATCGAAGACAAAATCAAACTGCACTTGACCAGAACAATGATAAGACCAGATACATCAGACTTGGCCAAAGAACCATCTTAGACCGCACCAGAAACCAGTCTAGACCATCTAAAAAAGAGGCTGGACAAGAACAGTCTGCGACAACAACATCGGCACCCGGCACGCGGCAGCCAGGACACGACGCTTATGGACGTGGCGAGACGTTTTTGGACCGGCATGTCGTGACTGAAGTAATCAAAGGCGACCCGGAAAGGGAGGCAGCCAGGGATAGAGACCACAACGGGAGACAGAGGGCTGGCTACTTCACTAATTTATAGCTTCACGCTGCCTCCAACTCAACCCAGTGGCTCAGCCGTGGTCGAGCTTCGCCTTTCGCTGCGACCGTGAAATCCAGAGCCCCGCCGCTCGCGACACCGCCGGCCATAAACCGGGCGGGATTCTGGTGACGGCAGCCCTGCTGAGCCGCTGCCAGACACAGGCTTAGCACTGCCGCCGGCCGGGCGACGCGGGGAGAGAAACGACACGGGAAGAGGGTCGGACAAACATTGCCGAGACGAGAACAGGGTGGTGAGAAGAGGAAGATTGTGAGAGGAAAAAAAACGCGATGGAAGAGCGCGAGGTGCACAGGCAAGAGCAAAACAAAACTCGCCTGAACAATAAAATCCAGCGATTAGGTATGTTTTGCACAAAGGTGGTTGCGATGGGCTCGCTCGAAACAAAACAACAAAGTTCACACAATAAGTCCTCTATTACAGTACGACAAACTTCCCATCTCTGGCATTGAGAAGCAGAGACCGGCCAACTGGCCCAACGCCACCGCTGTCGACGGCACCCGAGTAAGCCGGTCATGACAGTCCACTTTGGTCTCTGACGACCGACCGTGCGCCTCATCATAGTGGCGCGGCCGCCGGCTTACCTCATGGACTTGGTGAGAATCTGCACCGTCTCCTCGTAGGAGCGGCCCATCATCCGGCCCAGCTTGGAGTACATGGCGCCGATGCAGCTCACCGCCGCACTGAAACGCGACGAAAGGAGGAAAGGGTCAGAATAATGCGCGGGACAAACGGTATGGACGATGAAACAGATGGCGAAGATGAGTTGACACATAGACCAAGAATGTTTAGATACACGACGATTATGTTGGAATAAGTCCGCATGAGTAGCATGCAATGATAAGGCCTTGCCATGTAACGAAAAAATTAGAGCGAACATTAATTCGTCCTTATGAAAATTATCACAGATATAGCATCAAATGAATGCTTGGCTATCAGGTGTATCCAGCGGAGCAGCCTAAAAAAATTAACGATTCATTAGCGTACAAAGAAAGCATATTGCATGCAGCAATTAGGTATGGAAACCGATACACGATATTACAAATGTTCCGCTCATTATGAGTGTTCCGAGAAGTCGATTGCAAATACCCACGCAACGGTCCACGTCACCTACGCTTATTTACCAGTACGGTCACCTAACCGAGTCCAACTCAGCCAAGACGTTACACGAGATGCCAAGTATAAAGATAATGACGGAATGACCGGATGCAATAATGATCATAAGCCGTCCATATAATTGCGCCATTTCCCACTCATGCATCTATCTAACCCTCAAACCACTCACAGTTTGGTGGCCAGGTAGCTGGGCGAGTCATCCTTGTTCCTGAGGATGTCGTTACATTTGTTGACAGTGTCAAATAGCAGGAAGGTGTCTCCGATGCTGAACAAGGTAGCCAGACAGCGGGCCAGGAGGCGGCGGGTCGGCGGCCCAGGAGCCTCCGTCAGCTGGTGGGTCAGCTGCTCCACCAGCTTCTTGTGGCATTCCTTGATGTCGGCCTGAGGGAGAACGGGAACATCGGTCAGAGTCAGAACCGGTGCTGGATGGCTGTCAACGCAAGGGCGACGGCACGGGTACAGTGGTGTTAAACATCAAGGCATACACGGTTGGTGTGTCTGTAATACTTAAGCTTTATCAAGAAGACAAGTGTGGTCGACAACAGCACTAAGCAGACATACAGGTCAGTCAACATCAAACACCGGTCCCGTCGCCGATACAGCCACGGCCCCATCCCCTCCATCCATTCAAGTAGTGGCATTCCTCACAGCCCAAACGGCGCCACCCACGTCCCACAAGGAGCCAATCATACAGACGACCAATTCAGACGGACCAAACGGCCTACACTTGTTCACATACAATAGGGAACGAGCGGCCCTACGAGTCCGAATGGACGGACAACCGAAGGTGCTGGGTAGAATGGAGCACGTTAGGTGATGACAGATGGGCAGGGATGGACATTGGACAAGGCACGGTACTGGGATGTAAAGATGAGCACCGGCCGGTATTGGGTAGACATATGAGCGTTGAACACCGACGATATGGTGCCGGCCCGGGAACGACCAAATACACACAACCCGTGGACAAGTGTGTACTCTGGCTTATGGAACCTCTCCAGATCGGTAGGAGACAAACGAGGGGCCCACTGGAGAGTTAAGTACAGATTGGACGAGATCGACGCAACTGTTATGGTGTTCGCAACGCTGGATGGCGGAAAAAGATACTGTAAACACAAAATGACAAGAGTATCCATCGCCGTTCCATAAACCTTAGGCTTTCTGATCATGCAGTAATTATTGTACTTACTTTCAGCAAAAATTAACGACAGAACTAAAAGTCTTAAACTATAACCTTAGCCAAACCAAAATGCAATAGCTAGGACTGCTGCGACGAACTAAAAACAGCGCTTTCTTCTGAACAGAGTCAACTGATTCACTGCTTGGCGTTCAATAACTTCAGTGATTATTCGCTACAAGGCGGTAGGTATATCCCACATCATATAACCCTGATGCATATCCCATACATACGCCGCGATCCTCTCACCATAATCCTAGCGTTCATTGTCATTACCAATGCGAGCAGGCCCAGTCGGGTCGCTCCCTGGGGACGCTGGATATGGGAGACTGATCCAGCGGATAGGGGTTGGGGGACGGGGTCGGGGGAGGGGGACCACTTCCCGTCGGTTCCGGCAGCCCGCTGAGAGCCCTTTATCGACGGTGACCGGGCGGCGACGGCGGCAGCACCGCGGGCTAATGTCTTTTGTCTGCACCGCACGGACAGTCTGAAGTATGGAGGCAGGGGTGAAAGGAGAGGTGCCCGGGTTATCGCTATCGTTATTCAGGATCAATCGGAGCCGGACACTTCATGGAGAGAGGACAGTGCGGGGCATATCAGGGCAAGACAGCACAGCACAGGTCACAATATGATAGCGAATGCAACATTAACATAACTCTAGACACCTGACAGCATATGCCCGGTAAGCTGAGTTGAACAGATGTGAGCTTATACCTAGCTTACAAACCAGTGAAGCGCCTCTCTTTCCCCTCGCCCCTTCCCTCTCCCCGTCCCCAGCATGTGCCCAAACCACTGACCTTCTGGGCTGCCACCAGGACCTTGTCGAGGAAGCGGAGCCACTCGAAGACGAAGACGGGCCTCTTGCTCTCGGGGATCTGTTTGAGAGCGGCCTCATTCAGCACCAGGCTGTGAGAGAGCTCCATCATCTTCACAGCTTTGGCCGCCTCCGCCTGAAGACACAGGGAAGGCATATGTGAGGGACAAGCATTGATAGAGCGTAACACTCGCTGGGATTTAACTATACACCGAAATAGAGGAAAACATTCACAGTACACAGGCGGGGTAGACGAGGGGCGTTTACCCGTGCACAGGATCCGACTCTGTTTACAGACAGTACACAGGAAACACCTCTGACGGCACTGTATCGCGCAACATCCGCCGGTCCTTTCTGAGAAGTCGCCATCAGACTACAGCCTGAATGCAGCCGATGCTTTACACGTCCCGACTCCGCATTACATACACTGAGGGAGTGCCCCTGTTTGGCGGGCGGCGTTCACAAATACTAATGTGCAAACGGTGGGTGGAGAACATCAGCGCATACCTTTTTGGGCGGCGACATTGTGACACTGGTGATAATTGAGCAGTTCAACAACGCCGCGCTTATCTGACTGAGGGGTATGGCAATCAGATAGCATGTAACATGGAGGGTAACAAGAAGCACAATAACACACACATGGAGGGAGAACCATTCCCCATTCGGGAGCACACAGTGGCTGCAGCTAAACACTCTGCAAAACAGGGACGGGAGTTCTCTGACCTGAGAACACATTAGGTGTGATAACAGAACACCACGTCTGAAAAACAGACCGCCATGAGATGGACGACCAGCCGCCGTCGCCACCGCCAGAACAGCCCACTGCGTGCATATTGCACGATATTACCACGGCGGGATGGCCGGATGGACGGTGCCATTCTGGGACAGACCAGACTAACGGCCCGGCGCCTGAATAGTTAACGGCGGCCGCCGGCTGTGCCGCGGACACTGCTCAGCAAGGCTGATCGCCAGGCGATTTTATAGCGGTCCTAGGTAGAACGCAGTTCGTACAACTGATCAGAACAGATGTCTTATGTAGGAGAGTGTCAGGGGAGGTGACCAGCGAACAGTTTCTATAAAATAGGAAAACAACGGAAAAAGGAGTTCACAGCCAAAGAGGTTTCTGAACACAAATAACACACACAGCTGGTGTTTACTGATAACTAAGTGATACAGGCAGCTGCTAGAAATAGCGCCGATCAATGCTCCAGAAGCGCTGTTTATCGTCAATCGCCATCGTAAGTTGAGTGCAGCGTGCCGACGGCTGCGGGAGATGTATCCGGCAGCCGGTGAGCCAGTCTAGCCTAGTCAATGCCTCAGCCCTCACTCCTCCAGCTTCCCTTTCTTAGACAAGCTCTCTGCTCTCTGAATGGGACGGGCAATGATAGGCAAAAGCCTCACTCCTTTAACTACATCGTGGAAGTAGCTCCAAGCCCGACACTTCTAAGGCAGCGCGGCGCCACAGATCACCGTGCTCCGTGCGCAGTGCGTTCTCCATGGTCACTCACCTCTCCGCAGTATATGTAGTTATCTTAGCTCCCGTACCGAGTAGCCGCACAGAGTCAATGAACGAAAGAAGGTAAGTCGTTACAGACAGCGCTCGCCAGTGCAGACGCCGGCGGAGGATCGCCCGGCGGCTCGTTCCACCGTCAGGCGGCCGGCTCGGAGCGCGGAGCGGCGCTCTAACGGCCGGTGGCCAAAGGTTACCAGGCTCAACTGCGAGCACAGTAGCGACTGTATAGGTCGGCGAGACTCAGCTAGCCTAGAGCGGAGTGTAGAAGAATCGCTGGTCATTTCGATGGGCGCTACCCTACAAATAGCCTGTGACAGATCTAGGTTTTGTAGGCGCAATTTGTGTATGCATCACACCCGACACTGACAGCAACACCATAAGTCGCCGCAGGTCCGTCCCGGATGGCCGGGCTCGGTCGTACCCTCAGGCCATTCAGAGGTCACCGGAAAAGGCCACGGCGTGCCAGAACACACCCTAATGGCAGTAATGGATCTAGAGAAGTTCACGACCCTCCCAGGCACCAACCGCCAGGGTATTTGGTGGAAAACCTGGTCATCACTCCAGAACGAGAGCGCAGCATTGCATAAATGAGATAAGGCGATGCCTGAGAAGAAACAATAATGTCTGACGAAAGATACTCGCGCAAGGAATAGAATAGGACAGCAGCTGCCTAACGAAAGGGCGACAGTTGACAGTTGTTTCTTTGGCAAGTATTTTAAGACTCTGGACGCCAAAATGAGATCGTTAACGACATAACCGTCTGATAGCAAGCGAACATTGAAAACGTGCTTGTCTGACAACTGAAACAGTGTCCAACTAACAACGGTGCCATGTCGACGGCATATGGACGTCCTGTTCCACTAAATTAGAACAGACACTTCGACGACCGGCTGACACGGGGCGTTGACGAGCTACATTCTAATCAACGCTCCTCTAGGGACGGACCCCATAATACACACAGACTCCCTCCCTCCCCTCTGCTCTCGTTCTGCTCTGCCGTCCCTCCCCACTCATAGCCTCTCTCTGCTCTTCTCCAACTCCTGACTCAGGACGAACTTGAGCCTCTGACAGGCGGATACCACACCGGCATTCGACGTCCCGCCAAGACATGTCTCCTGTTTGCGTTCAATATCACCAGACACAAAGACAGCTAGTGCAATTTGCAAACATAGCTGTGTGCAGCTTTACCAGCTCGATATACCCGGCGCTGGGCCCCCTGATGAGCACCGGCTGAAAAACGCCCGCCTCCGGCCGCAGGCAAGTGGCCGAAATTGATGATGTTGTTGCTCGGTGCTCGTGGTGGAGCAGCTGGCCACGCCACTTGCATCTGCGCCCTACTGGCGACTGGATAATATTGGAGCGGGCCGAAAAACCACCCGTCAGGTCATCGGTCTGCACACCGAGCCAACAGGTGCGGCACACTTGGTGGCGAACGTAAGCATCGTTTGCACGGCACGCTACTTCTCAGTGATAAATGAAGTGACTAGCTTTGATCGGGGCTTGATATGTGGCCAGTCAATACCGCGCCCCGATATCTTCATCAGCTGCCATCTTCTCACACAGTTGATGATTCATTGCACTGCCTTCGGCCGCCAGCTGGGTGAGATAGAGAAAAAAGGAAGCGAATATCAAATATGCCCGCTGCCGAACAGCCCCGTTATGCCAACAGCTGTTGTATGAGTCAGTGTACCCCGTTCCGAGCCACCCCTTCTCCAGCCGCTCTCAGCCCCATTAGCGCCTCTCATTTCGGGGCTCGGCTGTGCTGCGGCTGACAGGACGAGATGGATTGGTTCGTATTATGCGTCCGTTCACACCCGGGCCGGTCGTCGAGTGACCTGGGAGGTCGGCGATGGGAGCCGCCCGGTCTGCCGCCGCTCGTCCAGCACGGTAGTCCATCCATCACTGGACTGAGTGAATGCCGCACAACGTAACACAGAAGCACAAACTACAAAGATGCAGACCATCTGATTGACGGATTCCGACCAAACCGACCAAAATAGTTCCCAGGATCGGAGCATAACAAACCTAATTCGGCCACGTGACTGCATCAAACCAATCCGCTGTCGTGTCAATTGGATCACGCAACAGCCAACAGCTAGCAGCTACCGTTCTCACAACAAATCACAAAATAGAGTCCACCGGCTTCCTGCAGACAAGAACGCAGCCACGTATCAAATCGGAAGGTTGTCACCCCCGGGTCGGTACAGGTATATTCCATCTAAGCTTCTGTTTCCTGAGGGGACAGGACTTCGTTCCGGTTCCTTTCTCAGTCGCCTACGGATAGCTCCCGGGGGGAGTGTGCTCCGAAGGCAATCTGTCCGGTCTTCTCACACTGACTGGAATACGACCAGCGGACGGCGGCTGTGGGAGTGTGGGACCAACGGAGACCGACCCGTGGACCAGGCGGTCCAGGTAGACCATCGTGACCGGCGAGAGGAGCAGGCGGATCAGATAGAACCGCCGGTCAGTCCAGTCCATACCCGACTCAGAGGTCGACAGTGACACTGTTCAATACGTGAAATGTCCAACCAGCCACACAGGCAGCCCTGTGAGCCTAAAGCCCAGACTAGACATGACTATACACCAGCCCTGAATCCACAGCAGACCATAGAAGACCTCTCGGCACCACCCGGCTCTCGCCTGCCGGCCAGAGCAGTCTGCCGCCGCGCCGGCCGGTCGGCAGAGTCGCTCCCCAGAGACGGGTCGGCGATGAGCTCCGCCCGGCCGACGCCGCGCGGCGCTCACTGCATGCCGCTGCCGCTCCCCGGCTCCCGGCTCCGGCTCCCGCTCCCCGATGGGCCCCGGTGGACTGCACCAAATGACGCCCCGTTCCAGCGACACACTGCACGGCGGCACACGGTGCAGGCGAGTCTATCGTCATAGCATAGCCGTCGGGCACACAGGGAACGAGAACGGAATAGCAGCCGCCTCGCATGGCTATGAACTCATAACGGCCCAGCTCGACGCTTAAATAGTTGGTGAATGTTTGAAAATCGATGCATGGTGTGACATGCAATACGGTTGATCAGACGACTATATTAAGATAAAACAAAGGAAATATTGTTCATGCATCAAATAAAATAAACAGCTGGCAGGTTATATAAGCATCAAACCAAAACACGCAACATTAAGAAGCTTCAAGTGGGCCATCCCACGCAAAAAAAAAAGATTCCCGGAATGAGCCGTTGGAGGATCCTGTATTTTACCAGAATACGGCTAACTACCCTTAGTATGCGGCGGTCGCGCCTCCCTCCCTCCCGGACCGTCTGACGGGCAGCTCACCTTCTTCATGTGCTGGAACTCGGAGAAGGTCATGTGGCCGACCGTTTTGTTCCTCATGACGAATGTGTGCGCACAGAGAGTCCGTTTTCCCGTTCACCACCGCGGGACACCATTGAAAATTGGCCCGGCCGCTTTACGGACGCGCTCGCGACGGGAGGCGGCGTCGACCAAATGGAGCAGCCCGGGGCGCCCGGCCCGAGCTGCAGGGCGCCCGCGTTCACCGGGGCGCCGCAGAGGTCACGGGGGCGCCGCAGAGGTCACCAGCTGATGCACTTGTCACTCAAACACAACGTAGAGATAAAGCTTCTTATTGCAATCACTTATGGGTCGCAGTGTTTCAG